GAATTTCTGGGGCGCCCGTGTGATCTGGTCGGACATCCGAAGCGAGGATCGTGCCTCGCTCACGAGCAGTAAGTTGGTCTGTCCCTTGCGTCAGGGAAGGTAAGCTGACATGACCAGGCATGAAGGTTGCTCTCGGGAGAAAGGCCAAGTTCCCTGAACTTATCAGCGGTTACGACTTGGTAGGCCAGGAAGATCTCGGCCGTCCTTTGTCCGATGTGGCTCCGGAGTTGGTCTGGTTTCGTGAACAAGCCGAGCGATTGAATCTCACGATTCCTTTCTTCTTCCATGCTGGGGAGACCCTTGGGGATGGTAACTCAACCGACTACAATCTGGTCGATGCAATCCTATTCAACACTCGACGGATCGGCCACGGGTTCAGTCTGTACAAGCATCCTCAACTTATCGACGAGGTGATCACCAACTCGATCATGGTTGAAGTTTGTCCTATCTCGAATGAGGTTCTCCGCCTTGCGACCGATGTTCTGCATCACCCGTTGCCTGCGATGATTGCCCATGGCATTGCGACTGCCATCAGCAACGACGACCCCGCAATGCTTGGCCAGGATGCGGCTGGGCTAAGCTATGACTTTTATCAAACCATTCAAGGGTTCGACAACATCGGACTTGCTGGACTGGTTAGTTCCGATTCCTGATACTCTTCTACCATTCTTATCTAACCAGCCACCACGCAATCAGGGAGCCCTCGCTCAGAATAGTCTTCGATGGGCCAACTTCGAGGACCAGTCGGATGGAGATTGGGTTCGGGACATCGATCTTGGAGAACGTGGCACCGGCATCAAAGCGCAATATATGCAAGTGTGGAACCAACAATGGGAGGATTTCTGTCAATGGATTGTCAACGAGTATGGCAACGAGTGGCAGAACGCGACGATGGGAATGACTACAGCATGAGGTGTCAACAAATATATGTATATATGTATGCGTGTCAGGTGGATGGATTGAGAATTCCATCTTTACCTGTTGCAATGTCATCGAAACATCAGTCGGGATCAGTACAACCAATGTCCTGAGTTCTCCAATAGTGTACCCGAGATGCATTGAGCTTCTGGTGCCGACTCCCGGGGTTTTCGCTAGAAGTGATGTCTTTGTGTTGAATCCCTATCACGTGTCCGAATGTTGACTCAATGCGAACACATCAAGGGAAAGAAGAGGCAGGAGGGCCCTGACATATGGTAGGCGTTTATCGGTGACACCACATTGCACAGCACGTGGGTAGTATGGCCGACAAGCTGGACCATTTTGGGCAAGTTATTTGTCGGTGCTGCTTTGCGGGTAGTGGTTGATGCCCATAGGCTGGGCAATTGACAGGAGACCTCCGGTTCCAACTTGTAGCATTCCAACGTGGAAGCCTCTGGACCTCGGCTTTCAGCGCATTGGTAGGTGAGATCCAAGCAATGAGGCTGGCGGTGAGCCATGGTGCATCGGATGAGCGATGATCGCTTGCCCCAACTCGGCTGGTATTGCCTGTGGTTGTCATGCCCCACCAGGCAAGAGCTTAGACGCACTGTGTAGCCTTTCCAAGTCCAGAAATTGCACCGTGTAATCGGCAGGCAAGGACATTGCTTTTGCTGCTACTTCTCCATAGGCGTGTAAAGTGCCCGATCCGCCCCAACCCGGGGAAATGGAGCAGATGAATGCAGCACAGCCACCGGGAGAATCTGCAGTTCCTCGTCTCCCCAGAATGTAGTGACCAGCAGCACAGTGATAGTGCGCGGGGAGGCGGTTTAGGAAAGAGTCTCAGAGTTTGTTTCACAGAGGATCTCGGAATCTTAGTAAGATACAGTCAGTCACTAAGAAGAACGCATGGTCACGGGGGAGGGGGGCGGGAGAGTAAATTTGGGCCGAGCATATGACAAAGACGAGGACATGAATCACTGATATCTGTCAGATTTGTTTGTTGTCGGCAAGCTCCGAGGGGCGCGGAAAAGGCAGCCAACCGGGCTGGAGGGGAAGGGAGAAGGGGGAAGAAAGGCGAGTCTTGCCTTCGCTAAGCGCTTGGGAAGTGGATGAGTGAGTGAGTAAATGACAGGTCAATCCGAACTGTCCGCCTCTTTTCGTTCCGCTTCGATGATCCTTTCCTTTCCCCCAGTGCCCCCCAGTGCCCCCCAGTGCCCCCCGGCTTTCGAGTTTCTTGCAGATGTTCTGCACACAAAACTGGGTTGGAGTCAGCTGCAGTGAATCAGTGCCTGCAGGGCGATTGGAATGAGCAGTGGTCACCTGGACATAGAGCAGCAGGAAGTGAAGAAGAAGAACACAACAAGAAAGAAGGAAATAGAATAGGCGGCGGCGGCATCTGCGCCTGCTAATCCCGCCTATTACTTACTTGTACTGTACAGTACTTACCCACCTACCATTGACTTATCCTCTGTCCTGGAGTACAGGGCTTGGATTAAGGCTGCAGGCTGAAGATCTCCGGGGTTTCGTATGGCCTGCCCTTGCAGCTGATCCATCCATCGGCCTGGAAAGTGTTCCGACCATTCATTGATCTCCCAAACACAAACCCCTGTGTGTGAAGTGAGTGAATTGATGAATTTATGGGCCTCCCCCGGATTCGATTCCCTTCCCTTCCCCAATTCACCGCCACACGCAACACTGACAGCATCACCTGCTAACACTCGCGCACCTACCTCACTTACCTTTCCTCTGTTCCCCCGGTCCCCCTATTCTCCCATACTATGTAGCTTGTCTGCTTCAATCCTCTTGTCGTTGTCGTAACCGTCTTTTGGCGGGTTCAGCGGAGAGCAAGAAAACAATGGAGCGTCTTCCCAAAGGCTTGTTGTCGACAGCGACCAAAGAGGTTTCTGCAGACCTGAGCGGGGCAGACTCAGTGGACATCGCAGATGTTGCCCGTTTGTGGAGAGGTGAGCGTGGCCGCACCTTCTCTCTCCCGCGATGAATTGTACTGTGCTTACTCTATCCGGCTATCTTCTAGTCTACAGTGCCAACCCCTCAGTGCACAATGACGACAAAGGATACCGGCTTGAGAACTTCTTTTGGAGGCTCGGGGGTAGCAAGCGCCTGCTGCGATCTATGACTGGCTCCATGCTAGCCGACCTGTTTTCGAGGATCTCAGACCAGCGTTCGATTTCCCTATCCGAGCTGCACAAGGTATGGATCCTGACACTGCCTGTACGGATATTTCTCTGGGTCTAACCTTCCTCAGGCCCACAAGAGAGCAGCCCAGGCAGACAAGCCACGCAAGCCCAGCAGTGGCAGCGGCAGGCCACTTCCACCCATTCTGAAGAAGCCGAGTAGCAGTCACTCCTCCCACGGGGAAACACACAAGACTACCCGTATTCTGCTCACTGGCCTGGACGGTCAGAGCACCACCCGCAAACCCTCTAATACACTCACGCCCACTCCCACCACTCCATTAATCGTGCCAGAGCCTGCCACAAGAACTCCGCAGAAGAAGACTTTTGTCGTGGCCGCGAAAGCGAGAGGAGCCAAACGTCGACCAGTGATCATGCGTCGCAAGTCGTCGCAGCACTCCACCGGTACCACGGGCAGTTCTAATCAGGACCCTGCTCCACTGATGACGGACTACCCCGAAACTCGCCCAGTGCTGATGCGGCGCAAATCCTCTCAGCAATCGTCTGGCACCACCAGCAGTTCGGTCTTCGAGAAGACTCCGCCGGAATCTACCCCACTGGATGCTGAAGACCTTCGCGGACCTGCACTCAAGCCACGCGGGTCATCCCGACTTTCCTCGGGGACTAGTGGTGATTCTGGTCGCATCTTGACTCCGCAAGACGACTCCATTCCTGAGAGTGTGAGACCTGTTGGATCTCAGAAGTCGATACAGCGTGATTCCTCTCAGCCGCTGTTGGAAACCATTGGCGTCTCTGTCGTTCCAGAGTCGGCCGCACTGACCGGCGACTATTCTCAGATTGAATCCAAGCAGAATGAGATCAAGGTGTCCGAGACTGTGGAAGGTAGGCAGTGACTTGCTAGCATAGAAACGGGTTCTGATTCTTTCTCAAGAGGTTGCTATATCCCCTAAGGATACAAACCAAGAGCTGTGTGAAAGCATTAAATCCCAGTCAAAGACACCTGATACAACTGCCACTCAGCCAAAAGAGCAATTCAAGTCGGGCAGTCTGCCGGCGACATTCCTTGAGGATTTGAGGGAGCTGCTCAACCCAGACAGTGCACCTAGAGCTCCTTCACCGCCCCCGCGAAAGCGTCCGTGGGGCGACTTCCTGGTCAAGCCACCCACCCCAAAGCCGAACTTCTTCGTGCCAAGCGCTATTCGCCGCTATGACTACCGACACCTGGAGCCCGAGAACTACCAGCCGTCTACGGCCCAGCTGGTCAACAAGAACTTTCGGCAACGGTTCTCGGATAGTGTCCGCCAGGAGCACTTCCTTGCGTCGTCTGTGGAGGTTTCTGGCCTCGGGTCGCTGTCCGCGCCAGCACCCCCAGACCCGATGCAAGCAGCATCTAGTGGGATACTCACCAACACGAACCTGTCTCCTCAGTTTGAGAGCTCAACCGGCACTGTATCGACAGCCCCGACCTCTGGTGTGACTATGGAGACCATATCAGACGATGAGATTTCCGTGCACTCTGATGTCGAGGACGACAGCGCCGAGGAGGATGAGGGACCGACTTTGCTGACTCCGTTCTCGTTGCCTCCCAGCCGCAGCGGAATCAGCATGATGCTGGAGCAGAGCCGCGGGAGTTTTGGGTGGTGCCGTGCTGAGAATACTGGGGCCTGATTGCCAGGAGGTGTTGCAGGAGGATGTTCATAATACGAAGTCACGGGAAACGATCACGATGTATGCAGCGGCATTTCGAAATGGTAGATACGGCTTGCTTGTGCTTGAGAGATAAAAGAAAGAACAAACCATGCTGCTTCACAATAATAAACCAGAGACACCGTAAACACCGTAGAGCCCTCCATTAAGCCACCGATTTTCCCACCCGACCCTTTCTTACCCAGACTCCTTCTTCCTTCCTCCCTTGCCTCCATCCATCCCCCAACCCAACCCCTCCTCCCTTCCACCCTCCGTCTCCAAACCCCATAACTACCCAAGAAGAAGAATCAAACCATCTCCCCCTCAACCCCCTTCTCCAGCCCCTCACCCTCCCCCTCTCCAGTAGGTCTTCTCTGATTCCCCCACCACCTCACCCCCGTCCACCCCGCCGAACCCACCCAGAGCCCCAAATTCACCAAATCCACCCAAACGGCATGCCGCATCCGCCTTGTCTCCCCACTCTCCGTCGCCGACTTCTTGCCCAGATACTCCGTCCCGAAGATCCCAAACAGCGTCAACCACACCACACACAGCACCGCCTCCCACACAAACATGGGCAGCTGCCAGCTCTCCCGCCGCGCGACGGGCACTCTCGTCTTCAGAATGTACTGCATCAGCACGATGTACGCTATCGCGGTGCCGCAGCCCAGCAATGCAGTCACGATCGCGTACACCCATTTCGCGCCGGCTGTGGCCGTCGGGGACGAGTCGTGGATGGTGTGGATGTGGTGCGCGTAGAGGGCTAGGGCGGTTAACCCGAAGGCGAGTTGGAGGATGTGCAGGAAGAGGTTGAGGTAGTGTTTTGGCTTGCTGCGGCGGAGGTGTGGAGGGATGTTGTTCGAGGTGGCGGAGATGGTGGTGGTGGTGCCGGTTTTGTTGGATGCGGACATGGGGAATCCCCCCGAAGAGGAGGAAGGGTCGTAGGTGCCGTTCTTTTTGGCCTTGTGGGTTTTGTGGGCTTTGACGCCGAACTTGAAGAGGCGGAGGAGGAGGAACCACATTCTTAAGGTACTTGAGGGCTTTGGTGTGGTGGGGTTGGGTTGCTGCGCGAGGTTGATTATGGTTGTGGTTGTGGTTTTGATGCGGTGAGGTGTGCTGTGGTGTTGTATGCGCCGGCGCAGGACAACTCCAGGATCTGTATGTGTATGTATATATGCTGAAGCAGATCTATGTAGACCAGAAGAAGGAGAAAGTCACTTGGAAAGAAAGAAAGAAGGAAGGAAGGGCGCTGCCTCGGGTATATGTCTGATATATGCACAAGGATGGTCTCGAGTATGTACTCCACCGAATGAAGTGTTAAGAAGTATCAATATGCAGATTCAAGCTTATGTAGAGAAGAATGTCAATGGCCGACAAACAGAACACAGAAAGATCAGTGAGTGAAAGAACGTTGCTGGCTTGCTTGCTGAACAATTCCCTTCACCTCGCCATTCACCTCTTTATATCCTTCCACGGCTCCCAGACCACCCACCCTCAAAAACCTATTTTTATCTTCTTCACGAACAAACTCCCCCCCTCTCCAGGTTGAACACTATAGCGTGAGTTTACCAGGTAGACCTTGCATCGGCAAACGCGCGCGAAGAGAACCTTGAAGTCAGCCACTGCCACTGCGGGAATCCGATGGGTTCTGCACACTCCTACGGCCCGTTTCAGATCGACAGGCGGCGCTTAGACACTCCCCGCTACCAGAATGGTTGGTGCACACAAAGCGCCCGCCTCAGCAGTCGGTGGCTGGATTCCAATCGATCCTCGCTTGGCGATTAACTACAAAACAACTGGAAACCTTTCAGCATTCAGACTTTAACCGCCTGCCTCCCTTGCAAGGCTTCTTTGTTCATCTCATTCATCTCGACCTTCTCCCTAACACAACTGCTAACTACTAGCTAGACAGCATATACACCAGACAGCTGCTACTAAGCCAGGCTAACCTGCCAAACCTGCCAAATCTCACATCTGCACATGCCATCAGACCTCATTATTGATAGTCAATCAACCAAACCTTATCCCTATGCAACTATGCAACCCAATTCATCCCCCATCCTTCCAATATGTATCAATGTTGAAACACAATGCCAATTGGACCAGAAACCATGCATGACGCTGACGTGACATTCATCGACCAGAGCGGGGATTCATTCCATGCAAAACAAGACAAAACAAAACAAGGCTAACAATCAATCATACAGGACAAAAACAAAACAAACCATGAGACATCAAGAGACAAGGACTCAAAACCGAACAATCGCGATGGCGGCTCACCGGTCACATACCCGAGCGCCATCGCTTCTTTGTCAGGGCGGCCGCGTCTCTCCGTCAACAATCCCTTTAGCGCCAGACCCCGTCGCTGCCACTTTTGGTGCATTACTCGGTGGTATGGCGCCCTTGGCACTGGTCGGTGGAGCTAAAGGTGGTGGTGCTGGTGGGCTCGATTCCGCCTCTTCCTCATGCTCGTTGCTCCCATGCTCATCCTCATGGGTTCCAGCCCCGCCTCCCATCGAAGAGTGGTCCACAGATGCGCGATCGTATCCATGATCATAGGTTGCCGGCTGAGCTGCTGCCTGCTTAGTGGCATTCTTGGTCGCCTTCTTGCCTTTCCGACCTTTCATCTTGGCTTTCTCAAGCAGCCGCTTCTTCTCTGCCAGTCGCTTGCGCTCTTTACGATCCTTGATTTCGTATTGCCGAATGAGGGCCTCCGGTGGGTGTCCAAAGATACTCTCGTACTCACAGAACTCACAGATCCAGATGTCCTCAATGCTTGGGGGATGGTGGAGATTTGCGTACTGCTGCTGGATTTTGCGTTGACGCGCAGCCAGGGCGTAGATGCTTCCTGGCGATCGCTTTTTCTTCCTGGCCGCCGGAACTTCACCCGTGCCCGCTTGTGGTTGCTGTGCTTGGTGCTGAGATTCCTGCGAGTTGGGCTGAGCGGCCATGCGGGGGCTCGTTTGTGTTCCCTGAGAGGGACCCCTCGGATTCGGTGCGGCAGCGGGGAGAGACAAGGGTGAGCGGTGGTGTGGGGGATACGAAGTCTGGGGTTGGAGCGCCATGCCTCTCGAGGAATCGGATTCACACGTGAACGTGAATTGTGTCTTGGTAGGCGTGGGAGTTTGTTGCTCTAGCATGCTAACATGCTTGGGACCGGTAGGGGAAGGGGCAAACGCGGACGCAGCAGCATTGGCAATGGCCGTTGAGATGATACCCTGGTCGGGCTTCTCGGACGAGTCACCTGGAGTACAAATAAGCAAAGGTCTGGTTGACCGGGAGACGGATGGTTGCGTACCTGCAGGCCCAGGGGAGGACAACGGACCGTCACGTCGGCTGGGGGTCCGAGGCCAACTGATCGGTGAATGAAGCGAGAAAGAGTTTCGCCCTGTGCTGCGATGCGGTTGACGACCGAGACGACCTCTGCCAGCCCCGGACATGCCACTGGAAATCGGAGACGCGGGGCTCCCGGTGCCGTAGAATGTACTCACATGGCTGCTTTCACTGGTCGAGGAGGGTTGGACCGAGCTGGCCAGCCCCATAGTGGAAAATTCAGGGGAAAGGGTGGAATGGTGGCTCCCGAGGCTGCCTGGAGTCGGGATCTTGCGTTTCTTTTTGTTGTTAGTGTTCTCAAACGCGTCGTACCCATCAGGACCCGCCGAGGACGACTTAACGGGCGCCCGGTCCCCGTTGGTGGGGACGGCCTGAGGTTGTGCACTGGAGGCCGACGGGGACAGAGAGGACCCTCGAAAACCGGCACTTCGTCGAACAACTACAGGCCTGTCCTCATCGCCGCTCTCCAGCTCTACTCCGTTCTCGTAATGGAGGTGGTCACGCTCGGGGCTCTGATCACCACCTTCACTCTGTTGTACGTACACCTTCGTGTCATTTACATGGTTCGTGCCATCCACCGAGGTCCCGTAGAAAAGTTGTGTTGCCGGGGCCGGAGGGAAGAGGATCGAGTCGGCCGCTTCGGAGGACAGGCGAGAGCGAAGGGTACGCCTAGGGAGAGGACGAATCAAACGATCCGGGTAGACAGGAGACGGTGTATCAGGAGCCGCATTGAACATCCCATCTGCGGGTGAACAGTATCAGCAACCCAGCAGCTAGCAGACCCTCCAACCTTCCTTCTGTGTGGCCCGCCTCGGGGGCAATTTCCATTATTTGTACGCACCAAGAACGCCAGGCGTTCCTTCTCCCGAGGAACAGATATCGTTGGTAAAAGACATACTCAACGTAGCAGTCATGCTGCAAGATTCTCAACTCGCTTCAACCACAGTCACGGCCGAGACGCCGCTTTGATTCTCCGAACAGCCAACCCCAACAATATCGTCCGCGTTGTCTTATTGTCTCAGCTTTTTTGGGTAATGGTCTGCCGCCAAAGGCCCTCCGAAAAGGTTGATTTCGTCTAATCAACAGGGAACCGGCGATTTATGGGAGAGGAGGAGGAGGAGGAAGAAGAACGGCGGGTTGGTCGTAAACCGGCACTGATTTGGCACCCACACTTAGTTGTCATGTTTCCCCTACGTTGGCAAACGGAACCACACGATGTTTGACCGGACCGCTGCCCAAGCGTGCATCCAAGGTGTCCATTTCCACCAGACCTCGACCGCCAGGGCAAGTGCGAAAGAAAATGCCGAATGAGCGTAAGGGACTCACATTGTTGACCATGCACCGGGACCGCTCATGCAGACTTTGACTCAGCCCGAGGTGTCGGTAGGGACAGACCAAGAAACGAGACCAACCCAACACCGGACCTGGAGATTAACTCGGAGGGATAGGAATGAATTGAAAGACCCCAGCCAGACAAGTGAGGGCCGAACTATATGGGGTGAATTAAATCTGGGGAGAAAGAAGAGGGGGAAGAGGGGGAAAGGACATTAAGGTATAGGGGACGAAGAAGGCGGAGGGGTGGTGGAATCGAATCGTCGGTCGACAATTATTATGAATGACCAATAAGTAATCCGCTTTCCCTTTGAGGAGCTGCGGATACCTGGTTAATGCCTGAGGCATGAGAGCTCCAGGCTGTCAAGAGCTAGGCCATTTTTAGTGATGGCCCCACCCGACCAAAGAATCAACTAAACCCACTAACTAAACACAGTCCCAGCACTTTTCTTGCTTCGTCATCTCACCTGGCACCCACCAACTTGGCTCAGCCGGCTCGCTCGATATACACTGGCCTGGTACCTCCTCGTACTTTGATCCTACGCAACTTGGTCGGATATGATATCCACCAAGTGAAGGAATACTTGAGTTTTCCCGAGTCCTGGACCATCCTTGCGATCACTATCGACCACAACTAGCATAGCCAGACAGTCGCGGTGCCAATTACCCAGCTTCAAGCGAACTGTCACACATCATTTGCCGCTTGCCTACAAACTGACAAACCCACCTGCTCCCTCACCTACGATCTTCTGAGACCCTGATTCCTCACAAAACGTATACCCGATTTGATGGATATCTGGGGATTAGGACATGTCGAGTAGTAGGCAGCGAGGAGGCAGCGATGCAACTGTTGGTCTGGAAGAGGATTGTCTGACATCTCGGTGGAATGGGAAAGCAGTCATGCCAGTTTGACAGTGGGATGATAGCGCATTGCAAAATGCCGTGCTTAAAGGCGTGCAGCGTACGTATCATTCAGACTATCCCCCCACCCATTATTTTGTCGAGTAGTAGGAACCCTGTATCTGTAGCATATCTTGCAACGTCTGGAACACGGTAAAGAGAGAAGAAGAATGATGGACCAGGCATCTCGTCATCGGGAGATGTTGGTGACAGAGGTGCATGGAAGGTAAGCGGGGTTCCAGGACACTGGAATGAGTGCCATCGTCGCATTCCTCCCCGAGCACCTGATGCGCAAGAACAAGACGAAAGAGAAGATCTTGTGGGAAGAGGGGAAGAAAAGTGAGAGGGAAGATCGGAGTTGAAGAAGTACCACGGGTTTTAGAGAAGAGAAGTCCGAACGACACGAGACGACGCGACAAATTCGCGAGAAAGAAAAAGGTGATGGGGTGATGGGAGGAAGCGACAGAGAAAAGAGGAGGAGCGGGGAAGAAATGACTCTAAAGCCAATGCGCGTTGACCGCAAAGCGAATCCCGCGCGCAGAATTGAAAGCAGCGTAGCAGTCGTCGGTCCCGTTCCGGCGGCCGTCCGTCATTTGGTTGGAGTCCGTCCGTTCCTCTCGCCCTCCTCCTCCTCTTGCTCGCTCGCTCGCTCGCTCCCTCCTCTGCCTTCTCCTCCTCTGCCTCCTCCTCTTCTTTTGTTCTGCCGATTTCTCCCCACCTCTTCTCTCCCCTCTGACTATGTAGTCCTCGGCCTGAAGTTGAGCTTGCAGGCGTTGTTCTCGGATCGTTCCCTGCTTTGGTTTCCAATTGCCAGCTTCCTTTCCTTGATCTGCCCCCGGCTTTTTACTCGCAGCATCCTCTCATCGTCTTTCCCACCATTGTGGGCGTCGCTCTTGAATCCCACCACCTCCCACCCGTGTGCGACAGCTTGATCGTTCACGGGCAGGCGTGCTCAGCTTCTACGCTGTGCTCCACCCTCTATCTATATATTTTTTCTCCTCTATATTCCTATACGCACGGCTGGGGTCTCCTGCAGAGTTCTCCCGCTATTTTTATCCTCCCACCACCCTCCTCCCACCATGACGCCTCGGCGCTCCTCTCGTGCTCGCACCTCACAACCATCCCCAGCCGTTTTACAACATACCAACTCCTCCAGCTCCTCCACCTCAATGACTCGCGAACGAAGCACTCGCTCCCACCACAAGATCTCCTCCCCTCAGCGATCCTCCACGAACAGGTCGCAGTCGATCGACGACGCCGACATTGGCTCGAAAGGTGACTACAGAGAGACGCGGCAGCGCCAGCGTGCTCGAGGGGAGGATGATAACGATCAGATGAAACTTGCCGACGGTGACGACGACGACGGTGAAGATGAGGAGGACGAAGAAGAAGAGATCACCCGCTGTCTCTGTGGACAGCAGGAATACCCGGGTCTGCCTCCCTCGCGTCGGGAGGCAATTGGTCGCAATGGACTGCGTGGCAGCATTAAAGACGAGGCCCTCTTGGGTCTCTCCGCAGATCCTGCTGATTTGATGTCGGACGACATCGGCAGCATGTTCATTCAATGTGATTCCTGCAAAGTCTGGCAGCACGGTGGCTGCGTGGGCATCATGGATGAGGCCATGAGCCCAGATGAATATTTTTGCGAGGAGTGCCGAAAGGATTTGCACAAGATCCTCAATGAGATAAATGGGTAGGTTCACACTTTGGTTTTGGCTTTCAGTGCTGTCCTTCGTTGTTTGCGTGCACTCATGTTGGCAGCTTCTTTTTGTTTTTGCTTGATGGAACTGCTCGCTGCTGTGGAAATTTTTTGCCGCATCAGCAAGACCAGTAACAGCTGCAAAAACTGGAGATTTTGTCTTTGTTTGGATGGCAGTCACCTAATGGCCCACGTCTCTTCTCTCCTTCTATGCTTTCTGCTCACAGTAACACAGATCATACTCCTCCCAATATCTACCGGTCGCCCCCCCTCCTCCCTCCACTGCCGTTTCATCGAGAGAATCATCGCGCGATAATCCCCGTCGCAATAAAGACACAAAGTCACGGTCGAATGACGCAGCTATCAATCCTAAGCGCCGATCCACAATGAACAGCCGGGACGCAGCATATGATGAGGAGGAGCAGCTGCGGCGTGCAATTGAAGAGAGCAAGGAAGAAACGAAGCCTGGAGATGAGCTTGCTGTTCGGAGGCCAAAGAGAAGCCGCAGCGATAGCGAAGCGTATGTTATTTCGATCGCTGGTAGCGTCGTCATCAACTGATTTGAGACAGTCAAAGGCAAACCACGAAACGCCAACGCACGAGCTCACCCTCACCTGGCGCAGTCTCCAAAAGCAATCCCGTGTCGCAGCAGGTCTCAGAAGATGAGTCCAGGGCCAAACCAGTGAATAATGTAGCTCGCAGACAACGGGCTGCATCGCGCGGACAGCGCGACAAGGATCTTAAGGATATCGAAGACCCTGAGTCTGAGCCAGCAGACGCCGCAAACCGCAGGAAAGCCAGGTCCGACAAGGCGAAAGATGGTAGGTTGTGTACTCCATGAGTACATTTGACGGAATGACTAACCCAGGCAGACGAGGCAGAGTCCGAAAATGAACCCGGCTCGCCAATCAAGCCAGTTGCGACCGACCCCGAACCCAAACCACCCAGCCCTGAACTCACACCCGCCCCTGCACCAGAACCGGCACCATCGCGCCCCGCCACTCGCAAATCGGGCCGTCCCCCTGCCCGTCGCGGGGGCCGCGTGGGCCGCAACCAATACACTCGGGATCGGGATATGAATGGAACGGACTCCAACTTCTCGACCCGATCTCCGCGACGCGGGCAGTCGCACGACATCGGCAGCGATTCGCCCAGGATCAACGGCATACATTTACACAGTGGAGAGTCCGGCAAGCCTAGTCGGCCGCGCTATGTGAACCAGCGCACCACCATGAACGAGATGAAGAGACGCGTGACGGCTATTCTCGAGTTCATCTCACGGATGCAGGTCGAAATGGCTGTGGCCGGGGAGAGCACGACGCCTCCCAACAATGGTGCCGCCCGAGTCAATGGCAGTCTGTTGGAGAGTGCCCTGGCGCTGGCCGTTGGCGACATTGACCCGGCCAGCGCAACAGCCTCGGACAGCGATGCCGCCAGTGGGCCGACGTCGATCGAAAAAGAGAAAGACTTCAAGGAACTGAGCAGCGTCGAAATGATGGATGTACTCACGCGTCATCTCCTCAAATGGCAACAGGAGTATGGCAAAGTGGGAGAACGCTGATCACTTTTTTTGTTCCTTTCGTTTTTTTTTCTTTTTCAGCATCTTGGGAGAAAATACATAAGATACCCTTCATCTCTGGTTGCACTTGCGTGGGGACATGTATAATATGGGAGCTTCTGCAGACAGCATCTTTGGGACTGACTGGATAAAGATCGGCGTTTTTACGAACTGTGTTACGGGGAACTGGTACCTTGCTGAGAACTTTCTTTTTTTTTCCATTGAGGCGGCGTGATTGGATGTTGCTGCAGCGGTCAAGCATCAAGCATATTTGCTGCATAAACCATCATCTCGGCGCTTTTGTTACGTGTCACGGGTGTTGAGGTTTTTGTCTTTGATATGAGGATGTTTCTGCAATTCGCTCGACTTGTGAGATAGGATCGAATCGCTTTATTGAGCTATAGCTTATCTGGTTGACCCTTTTGCTGTAGCTGACGTCTTGTCATGGTGCGTGGGCACTGTGCTCTTTGCTTGCTATGGTAGATAGGAGTGTATCTCTCATCTGCACCAATGTCTCTGATCGCGGTTACATTTTTGTAGAGTATACGCTGCAGAGCCTTCGCGGCCAGGCATCTATCTGTCCAGAGAAACAAGAGCCTGCTCATGGAGTCAGCAAAACAATGTCGTCACGGGGATGCAGGTACACTTTCATCACGTGCCGGCAGTCCCGACTGTTCGGGTCACGTGATACAGCGACTCTCAGTATGCGATCCAGACCACCAAGAATTCCAGAGAATCGTTCCATATTGCCCTTTCCCTAGGCCTTCCTCTAATGGTGAGAATGTGTCAAGGGTCATATAATTGGCAAATAGCCAGCCAAATAAGAAATGCGCCACAGAATCCACCCGTCGTAGTTGAATCTATGAGTTGGGTTCCGGTATATATAACCACCATGGAGGAGCATAAAGCTGCTTGGTGCGAGATCCGTGGACCTTTGTACGGTACCACTAAACCGTAGTCTTCTGATGGGAACTGGTTTATCGAGCTGGTAATACATACCGAGTAGGGTGCAGAGTTGATCAAGCATAGTATATACTGCTAGCTAGTGTGTGATCATCATGTTCGAATAACGACTCGACCTTGGCAGGATGACCCCCGCTCCTGGCGCTAGAAACCTCTGTTACCACAGGTACCACATCCTGGCTCAGCTCTGCTGCTTTGCTAATCGCAAGAGAAGGAAGAATGGGGAATGAAGAATCGAGGTCTGGATGGACTTGATCAAGGAAGGGGGAGATTCGTTGAGGGTGGGCCCGGTCAGGGAGATGCTTGGGTGGGGTTGTTGTGCTTTGCCTTTTTGGTACTTTCTTCTTGAGCTGTTAAAGGAAGAATTGCGATGAGGATCTTGAATATAGCTTGGGTAGGGTTGATCGAGGCTGAGATAGCGTGGGGATATACTGTTGATGCGAGGAGAGAAGAAGGGAGGTAGAGGTAGAATGACGTATAACTTATTGAGGGTGCTTGGCATGAGAGGGATGTCGAGATTATGTACATGGCACGGGATAGAAAAAGGTATTGAACAACACCTTTGGTATGGATATATACAAAGAAGACTTTAATGATATAAATAGAAACATAGGAGTTGTTTTGTCAATTGATTGAAGATGTAGGAATATCATTGTTGAGAGAATACCACTTGGATCAGCAGTAGTACTCGTAACTGTGCAGGAAACCATGTGTTTTCTTGCTCTCACTGAACAACATGTATGGCAATTCGATGGCACACCATTGGACGACTAGTGGACTACTCCTGGCTCTACAAGGCAACACTCCCCCTTCGAAATAGATTGACCACCCTCCAGAAAACCGGGCCTATCCGTGCGGGGCAGCGGGCAAAAAACGGGGGGGGGGGGGAGGGGGTGGGGCAACGGCAACCAGGCCTGTAATCACATGAAGCCAGGTAGCGCGAAGTTGGGGTTATAGTGCATGATGGTGTGCCAGAACGCCAGGAACAAGATGATATAAACAGTCACATCGAGCCACGTGTAAAACCACTCCATCCAGAACTCATACTCGTCGCATGTGTTACGCCACAACAAGTTTAGGAACAGGCAGAATAACCACCAAACCCAGCATGCGCTACCCAGACTGAACCAGATGAGGGCGAGGTGCTCCGCAACGGGGTCGGGCATGGCTACACTCCTCTGTCAGGCTACTCGCTCAGGGGAAATTCTGGTCTATAGCGAGGACTTGATCACAGGAATATTTTGGTGTGAGTACTAAGTAGGGCACAGCAGGGTACTGATAGGTTGGGTTGATGCAGGGAAGCACTGTACAAGTCGTCTTATATAAGCATAGGGCTATCGATCTGTGCAGTTTCGAAGTCTTAGTTTGGGACGGAGATTTTCAGCCATGCGCTCTGAGAGGAAGGAACTAAAGGCATGTTCCGTAGGAGATACCGGGATTAGGCGGGAAGTCTCGCTGGCAGAAAGACTAGTCTCAGAGGGTGGGTTCGCAGTATCGGTAATGGTCCTTTTCATTTCGTATATGAGCTAGACTGAATGATTGAGGCTGAGATAGTGCGAGAAATTATGCTGTTTATGTGAGTTAAAGGAGCAAAGAAGAAGAGCAGGGTGACGTATCCTGAGGGTGCTTAGCATGGGAGGGATGTCTGAGCCAGGTACTGTACACGGCACAAGCTGCTTAGAAGGTAGTCAAGAACATCTTGAAGTTTAGCATGAATATATGCAAAGAAGGGTTGGATAGTAATGTAAGTATTCTTCTGTTAAAAAAGCCGAATGGGTATAAATGTCAAATGTTAAATGTCATAATCAAAAAGTCACCACTTGAATCGAACTACAACTACTGATACAGCAGATATTGCTCAGCAGCAGTAAGCGATGCAAGAGATAACACTTAAGCAGATAGTCTAGTGCCAGGCAGGTTGATTGTGGACTGGACTACACATCCCCCTTCCAAAGTAGAAGAATTATCCTTCCGGCAAACGGGCTCATCCGTGCGGGGCAGCGGGGAACAACGCGGGGGTAGTGGATCCAGCGTGGGATCGAGATTAGGATCTTCCAATACAGGCCGTCAAGACACTGAGAACAAGCAGAGTCACGAGGATCCACCTAGAAAGCCAGTCAAACCAGTACCAATCGTCGCCGCACATATTGTACCCCAACACAGCCGGGGGCATGCAGGTCAACAATCCGAGAACGCAGGCGGCGCCGAAAGCGAGCCAGATGGCGATCAGCTCCCCGGCCAGATATCCCCAAGGTATTGGTGTTGCCATTCTTGTTAGGTCTTCACTACGGGGCGATTCGGTTGTCGGCTGGGTCTTGTAGTGCTGTTGCAGAAGAGTCAGGACTACTTCTGGATGTGACTCCTGAGTGCGTAGGACACAGCAGGGTTACTAACATATAGGAGTTGATCCGAGAAGATGCAGGGGAGAATACATGTAGTCTTATAAACGCATCGGGCTATAGATCGGTGAGACTCATTCGTCTCAGTTCGGAACAGAGATCTTCAGCTACGTGCTTTGAGAGTTCGGACAGGTGTGTAGGTACATGCCGCGGGAAATACGAGGATCAGCCGTAAAGTCTCGCTAGATTGAAGCAGAACCATGTAGGGCAAGCTCATTTTCCAAGGGGGGACCGGCAGTTCAAGTATAGCCTCTTTTATTTCGTATTTCTGGCAACTGCACTATTGAGCGAGATGCAAGGAGTGGACTTTCAAAAGTACCGAGTCCCTCGAATCTCTCCAGCAAGAGTTCAACCCAGAGAATCGATCGTATCAGCTTTGAACTTTGTTTATGTTATTGTTTCAATGCTAAGGATTGTTCATAAGTTCTCAGCTCCACTGTTCCACTGCTCCCTTTGCTGCCATCGTTATCGTCTACTCCGCCTGCTCCTTCCCCAGCAGTGCCATAAGCCTTTACATAAGAAACCACCACCACCGAATAACAACTAAGTGATAGTACTAGGAATCTAAGCGAAAGTACCATCCTGACCTAAGTCAGCTTACTCACCCTCTTGAGGGTCTAGACCTCAACATCTAGACTTCCCTGAGCCGTGCCTCTCTCATTACACGCAGCAACTCCACCACTACAATCCATATTAACCCCCAAACAAACCCTCTCACACCCTCTCTACAACAAATTAAAAGTCATATCTATACTCCAATACTCTACACGCGTAACCCCCAAAACCACCCCACGTCAGCAGCCACCCTCGATGAAGCCCCCAACCAACCCCCACCAACCCCCAAATCCAAATCCAAAAAATACATACAAAACCCACACCCCACCAGAGCCACTTCATCAAGAAATCCATCCACAATAACCTGTTCTGCGTGGAATGGCAGCCAAAAACTCCATAGCGTGGTTCGGCCATCAGCTCTGCAAGTGCTGTCTCTCTCAACAAACACCCCGTATGGTCTAGATGGAGACGACGGTTGTGGGTCACCTAACGGTTTCCTGCTTCAGACCTGGGTTCGAACCCCAGTACGGGGTATTTCTTTTTTGGCGGTCCTTCAAAGGGGGATGGTGTCATGGGGATGTCATGATGGTTTTAAGGGGGGATGGAGAGGACGGGGGTGATGTCAGAGCTTTGGTTGCGAACCAACATCGATGGGGGCTGATGATGAGTTGTGGATGAGATGCAGTCTCGGGGCATTAGATATCAAACGTAGTACTACTACCTGCGAAGAAGAACGCTATGTGAGGGTCTGGTTTGGGGGTTGTTGTTGTAGTGGGGGGACGTCATTGCTGCAGAGTTGTCAGAGACACTACCTAAGATATTGCGGTATGGTTGGCAAGAAGTAGATGCTGGTCGATACGCTGAGCCAATATGAAGCACTACGATGACCAGCTCAATCTGACCAGATCTGGACTGGCCTGTTAACTACGGCAGGACGTTGTCTTCGATCCTGTATCCGAAGACGTCACCAATAGAGCCTTGGATGAGCACCGTCGCCTCGATCGAGAAGTGTATACAACATTTCCATGCACCGGAACTATTCTAGTCGACGTAGGTGTCCTCTATAGGAGCGATGCTTTCATACAATAGTTGCGTGGAGGTGGCTGCAAGGGATGGGGCTGCAGAAACCCAAATTGGAGAGAGACTGCGGCTACCATCCCAGCCAATGGCTCGCTTGCAGAAGGTAGTGTAGATAGTATAAGAAACTACAAGTCTGCTTTAGACCCCAGAGAATAAATTCAATATAGCACACAAGGAGTGAATATCTGCCATTATACCTTAACTTCTATACCTCTTGATTGTTCTAATTCATGGCTATTTCATATCAAACTACTGAGAAAGAGAGCGGCCGCATTGCTATGTCCCAGCACGATGGCCACAAAGAGAATGCAGCACCAAAGGTTCGCGTATCTCATCCAGTCAACCTGTCTGGTGTTGCTCCAGAAAGCCTGGAAGCTCACGCACTATCCGCCTGGGCGCTTTTGTTGCACTTCTACAAACACCAGGACAGTGTGGCCTTCTTGCTTTTTCAAAATGAAGGACAACAAGAGGATACATCCACAACAAAGTCCGTCGCGTCGCACCAAGTGTTTTATGATATTGATGAGGACAAGACCCTGCAAGAGCTTCTGGACTCCCTGCCAAATGTGAATGAGGTCGCGAATCCGGAGAGTCAGCAGTCGATGTCTGCGGTATATATCGACCAGAACCAAGATGCATCCCTGGAGGAAGTCGTCGCGAAGCATAAGGTATGTCCATCAATCTGCCTCAAGTTCATAACTCATATGAATCTAGTATCAAATGATAGCCAGTCTTCATCCGACGAAGATGGGAATGACTGCTAGGATATACTCCCATGCCCGCGAGCCATCAGCCGATCTGTCAGCCGTTGTTGAAGCGTATAAAAACATATGGAAGGCGATGACAGACATTCCCTCTTCGAAGATAGCCCACCTCGATCTTGCCACAGAATATGATATCAAACAATTCAAAAAGTGGCACGCGGACCTGACCCCGAGATCATCGGAAACAATCCATGGATTGATCAATCGACACTACCGATCAAGCCCTGGAACATTGCGATACGCAGCACCACTGAGCAACTTACATTCCAGCAGCTTGGCGAGAGGTCTGCGGCAATAGCCCACGAGCTAGCAGCCAAAGGCATCAAACCAGGCAGCAGGGTCGGAGTCTACCTGGAAAAGTCCGCATGGGCGATTGTAGTAATCATAGGTGTCTTGCGTGCAGGAGCAGCTTTAGTTCCGCTCGATGCTTCATGTCCGGGGGACCGACTGGCCTATATTGCTCAGAAAACGGAAATCCAAGCATTGATCACACAGACAAAGCTCACCGACAGAATTAGCGAGTCCGGTCGTCAGAACCTCGAGATCATCACGCTCTCCAGCCTAATGCAGCTACAAGTCCCAGAGAACTGGCACACAGAGACAGCCAAAGACCCTTCGCAGGTTGCGTATATCATGTTCACGTCCGGAAGTACAGGTAAGCCCAAAGGCGTGGTGCACATACACCAAGCAGTCGCTGGAGGCTTGCAAGATGTCACCGAGACCTTGCATATGGGCTCGGATACACACCAGCTGCAATATGCTTCGTTTTCATTTGATGGAAGCATTCTGGAGCTCTTTGGGCCTTTGATTGTTGGGGGGACTGTTTGTGTTCCATCGACGGAAGAAAGGGTAGAGGACCTGCAATCAGTCATGCGCAAGCTCGAAGTCACAGATGCCACCCTGACCCCAGCAGTAATCGCCCAGCTCGAGCCAGCAAGCTTGCCTTCGCTCAGAGACATTTCCATCGGAGGCGATGCGCCAAGCTCAAACATTCTTCGCAATTGGTCTCGACACGTCACGCTCAATGACCTATACGGCACCACAGAAACATCCGTATGGGATACAATCAAGACCAGCATGAAGTCAGGCAATCACCCTAAGGATATTGGAAGAGGCATCCGAGTCAATTGCTGGGTTGTGGATCCAGACAACGTGGAAAGGTTACTCCCCATCGGCGCTATAGGCGAGCTACTCATACAGTCTCCATATCTCGGGAAGGCTTACCTGGACGAACCAGACCAGACTTCATCAGCATTCATTGAGACTCCGAAGTGGTATGCTCACTTTCAAGACACCGCAGGGTGTCCGATGTATAGAACCGGTGATCTTGCTAAGCTCGATGCTGAGGGAGATGCCATCTTTATTGGTCGCGAGAGCGGCTTCGTCAAAATCCGCGGCATGCGTGTTGAGCTGACTGAGATCGAGAGAGTCATTGAATCCGTGATTGCTCCGCGTAGAGCTGCAGTCGTCCTGGCCAGCGTTGACGGGAAAGAAGAGAACCAGGAGATTATGGCTTACGTCGAAACTCCGCAAGATATCATTCCGTCGTTGGCTGACGACATGCATGCGGCACTGAAAGGACAGTTGCCTTCGTATATGATACCCACGGTCTTTATACCCATCCAGTCAATCCCATTGACCGAGTCGAATAAGAGTGACAGACAGCGTTTGCGTGCATCAATCTCCCGAATGAACGGCACAGAGCTGGATGCGTACAGACCGGGTGCCTTTTCCATGACACAGTGGGAGAAGATCGATCCGAGAAGAGAGTTTGCCGTTAAGCTTAGCAACATAGTCGCAGATATATTAGAAGCCAGACAGAATCCTGTCGCTGAGTGTCTCCGAGATCATGACTTTCCGGTCTCAAGTGTTGGGCTTGATTTCGTTGAAATGGCGCGACTCACTGGTCTCATGCGACGAGACTGGGGAATGGACATCAAGGTTGAAAGACTGCAGGAGCCAGGATTGACAATCGGGCGACTTGAAGAATTATTCCATGGTAACGCCGGAGCGGCTGACGATGACACGACAGTGGATATCCTCGACGAGCTAAACCATACCCTACCACAAATAAACTTGGCGCCTCACCACACCAAGAAGACCATATTTGTGACATCAATTACCGGGTTCCTGGGAAGTCAAGTGTTGCGCTGTCTACTCGCGGAGCCCAACGTCGGACATATCATAGGGTTAGTCCGGGCAAAAGAGATATCTGAAGCCGAGCAAAAGATCCGATATCATGCCGAGATCGGTGAATGGTGGACGGGGAGTCTGGACCCGCGTGTTGAGATCTGGCTTGGAGATTTGAGCAAGAGAAAATTGGGGCTGTCCGCAGAAAAGTGGAAGTGCCTCACTGGAGAGTTGAGCGAGACGCGGATTGATGGCATTATCCACAACGGAGCGAGAGTCAACTGGCTTGACTCTTATGAGAGTCTCCGACCGACTAATGTCGACAGTACCGTGGAGGTTCTTTCTGCTGTGGCGATGCGATCCAGCCCATGTGCTCTGACCTATGTTTCAGGCGGGTATCTTCCAGCAGTGGATGAATCAAACAAAGACATTTCCAGGAAGCTTGAGCATTCCAGTGGATATGATCAGACCAAGATGTTGTCGAGGCTGTTAGTGGAGCAGTATAACGACAACGTCGACAGGCTTGAGAACCCGTATCTTCCAACCGCGCAGACGATTCAGCCTGGCTATATTGTTGGAACCAGGACCGAAGGTGTCGCTCATACGGAGGACTTTCTATGGCGGCTTGCGTCCAGCATTCTCAGTCTCGGCGCGATCAGCGAGGATTTGACCGACGCGCACATTCCTGTAGCTGGTGTTGATCAGATTGCACGATTGGTAGTGGAGAGCACAACTAGAAGGACACCCTCTAAGCGTGGCGTCGACTGCTGGGATGGGATCACGCTGGGTGAGCTGAGTGCGATACTGCAGCGGGAGACGGGGATTACGGTGAAGACCATGCTACACGACGAGTGGATGCGCGCACTAAGCTCAGACGTCAGTTCTAGATCCGGCCATCCATTTCTTCCTGTGCTGCAGTGGTTTGAAGACAACCAGTGGCAGTTTGCGAACAATGTGGTGGATTGATTCTCATGAGCCGGTCTTTGAGCGGGAGGAGATTGTGGAGGCCATTGTCAGAAGCGTATCATATCTGGTTGAGATAGGATTCCTGCCTTGCAAAGACAAGAGGAAGGAGCCAGAAGGGTGTGGAAAAATGCCGATATTCAAGAGAAGTAACTAGGTAAGAGACAGAGGAGGACGAGAGTCGAACAGAATGATTGTTGATAAGGCATGACTGAGTAAGGGTGAGTAAGTAGATGTGGTAACTAGATGTGATGGGCAGCCCCGCGGTAGTCACGCCGTCCGTCGATCATGTGCTTTTGCTTCTTGCTTCTTGCTTCTTTCTCCCTTATACTGCTTTCTCAAATCCATCGGCTGCATCATCCTCCCCTCTCCATCAATAAGATTTGCAGATTCTTGACATGGCATCATCTGCCGTCAAGGTAATTCCGTCATTATCGGTCAAAAGTAAGCAGATTTACTGGACTTCATTTGCCAATCGTTGAATTGATTCTGACGGTGCAATGCTGCAGGCCCACTCTAACCATTGCTTAAAGTATGCGCATCGGAGACATTTTCAATGCATGAAACGGCTTCCACCAACCATCCTTATCTTGTCTCCAAATCCAGTTGCCCTGCCTCGAAAATGCTGGATTGTACCAGTGATCAGATAAGAGTAAAGCCGACTGGTGCCAGAGGTGGATCCCACCTTGAAAGATACTTTTTGCCTCGGGCAAACTTTGCATCAGAGGCTTTCCAGGCACTCAACGCCATTGACGAATACGCGGCCAGGGCCCCACACTTTCTGGTCCTATTGCACAAATTGTGCTGCTGACAAACCTACACAACCATGATGTGCCCTGGTTTTAGCCACATTCGGGACGGAGACTTATACCGAAAGGGGAGGTGATCAAGGGGCCCGCCCTGGAGGAAGAATGTTCGGCAAGTTGGGTCTGCTCCACCAGCTCTTTGGATGCCGAATTTCGAGCGGTTGAACATCTCCACTCTGGATTTCAAATCATGTTTCCAATGGATTCTATCCAGGCCGTATAAAGGTCGCTGGTCGTCCGGTCAGGCCCTTATCAGTCTCAGAGTGGCATTTTCCAAGACATTTTACACGCATCCTCACCATGTCTATCCCCGACGTTGATATCGCGCCCGCTCCGGGCATCTCCTACTTCACCCCCGCTCAGGATCCTCCCGCAGGTACGGCAGCCAATCCTCAGACTAGCGGCAAGCCGGTCCCCAAGCTCTATCAGCCTCTGACCATCCGCGGTCTCACTTTCCAAAACCGCCTCGGTGTAAGTTCTCTCTTTGTATGCACTTGATGGGCTATGAGCTGACTCTGCGGTTTCCAGCTTGCTCCCCTCTGCCAATACAGTGCCCAGGATGGCCACATGACCCCCTACCACATTGCCCACCTGGGTTCGATTGCCCAGCGGGGTCCCGGATTGATGATGATCGAGGCGACTGCCGTGCAGCCCGAGGGTCGCATCACCCCGCAGGACGTGGGTTTGTGGAAGGACTCGCAGATCGAGCCCATGCGCCAGGTCGTTGAGTTCGTTCACAGCCAGAACCAGAAGATCGGAGTGCAATTGGCCCACGCCGGACGCAAGGCCAGCACCGTTGCTCCTTGGATCTCCACCGCCGTGGTTGCCACCGAGAAGGTCGGCGGATGGCCGGACAACGTCAAGGGACCCAGCGACATTGCCTTTGCCGACTCCTTCCCCCAGCCCAAGGCGATGACCAAGGACGACATCGTCCAGTTCAAGAACGACTGGGTTGCCGCCGTCAAGCGCGCTCTTGCGGTCGGGGTTGACTTCATCGAGATCCACAACGCCCACGGATACCTTCTTTCGTCTTTCCTGTCCCCCGCTGCCAACAACCGCACCGACGAGTACGGTGGCTCTTTCGAGAACCGCATCCGCCTCCCCTTGGAGATTGCCCAGCTGACCCGTGACACGGTCGGCCCCAACATGCCCATCTTCCTCCGTATCTCTGCTTCCGACTGGCTGGAGGAGGTCCTCCCCGAGCAGAGCTGGAACAACGACAGCACCATCCAGTTTGCCCAGGAGCTGGTCAAGCAGGGCGCCGTTGATCTGATTGACATCAGCTCCGGCGGTGTGCACGCTGCCCAAAAGGTGAAGTCCAGTCCCGGTTTCCAGGTTCCTTTCGCCGCTGCGGTCAAGAAGGCTGTTGGTGACAAGCTGCTTGTGTCGGCGGTTGGTGCTATCACCAACGGACGTCAGGCCGAGGAGATCATAGAGAAAGACGGCATTGATGTGATCCTCGTTGGCCGTGGATTCCAGAAGGATCCCGGCTTGGCCTGGACCTTCGCTCAGCACCTGGATGTGGAGATCTCCATGGCCAGCCAGATCCGTTGGGGCTTCACGAGACGTGGCGGTACTCCGTACATCGACCCTTCGGTGTACAAGCCGTCGATCTTTGATATGTAATATGTTATAGATTGTACATAGACGAGCGTTGAACATACAGTTGCGATCAAGAATTAATATCAGAATTTCTGGAACTCTCCCATTCCCGTCTACTCATCAAACAAGAACAGTAGGTGTGACCAGAATCACAGTTCCCAAGTTCTCGTCCATTCAGGACGACACAACGACCCTCGGCAACCGACAGCATACTCTCACATCCACAATTCTATTGCCTCTGCATCCCAATAAGCCGGCGCCTAAAACAAAACCTTCTATATCTACCAACACGACTGCAATGATAAACGAAATCTACCACCAAATCCAACTCAATCAAGTACTGTACAGAGCCCTCACCCCCTTCACAAACAAAGCCCCTAATCCTTCAAACCGGGCGTCTCCCCCACCCGAAACACATACTTGACCGCACTGGCCTTCCCATCCCGCAAATCCCGCATCGCGCCCTCTACCCCCAACAACCCCTTCTCCCGGACCTCCCAGGGGTGGCCCTCGAACGTCCCCTCCGCCAGCGCCCTTCCAAACCACCGACAAAATACGAAACAAAGATCCCTTGCGTCCGCCGCCCCGCCCACCTCGTGCGCACTGCTCACCCACGTATTGGTCTTCACGCCGGGCGATACGTCGTACGGACAGGGCAGGACGTAGTTGACCTGGCCGCCGGGCGCGACCACATTGCGGATCACCTCGGAGCTGGTTTCGCTGACGATCGTGTCGAGGATGTGTTCTAGCTTCAGTTCACCCGCAGAGGAAGAGGGGGAGGGGGATGCGGCAGCGAGGGCGGCCTTCACGCCTTCGATGGTCTTGGCTGCGCCGTCCCGGTAGTCGACGATCGCGTCGCCGTGCGCCGGGTCCAGGAAGCGGGAGATGTAGCTGGCGCCGCGGCCGGCGATGGCGATGATGGGGTGGATGTTGCTCAGGCGGGCGAGTTTGATGGCGAAGGCGCCGACGGCGGTGCTGCCGCCGTAGATGAGGAGGGGGGTGCGCTTGGTGGCTGGAGCTGGGGCTGGGGGCGTCCAGGGGAGCGGGAGGCGGTGGTGGTGGTAGAGCGAGACGATGGCGGTGAGCGCGGCGAGGGGGATGGTTGCTGCTTCTGTTGGGTTTGTTAGTTTGTGTCTGGGACTGGGTTTGGGTATGACCCAAGGAAGGGAGGCAGAGTACACACCCTCGAAAGACACCTTGGCCGGGATGTGGAAGGTGGTGTGGCTCCAGGCGACGGCGTATTCGGCATACGAGCCGCCGGGGGCCAGCATCTCGTGGAAGGCGCCGACGCGGTCTCCGGGCTGTTTTGCGTGTTAGTTGCGTTGCTGGCATACCATGATGGATAATGCTTTAGGAAGATGGAGGGCTCACCTTAAACTCAAACACATTCCGGCCCACCTTCTCGATCACGCCCGCGATGTCGTCGCCCTGGTTCACGCCGTCCTTGATGTGCGCGTATCGCTCCCCGAACGTCTCGTCGTCACTGCCCGCCAGCTCGGGCACCTTCCAGTCCTTCGGGTTGGACCCGGACACGACCACCCGGATGAGCACCTGGTCGTCGTTGATCTCGGGGATCGGGGAGTCGATCAGCTTGCAGCTGGGGCCGGGGAGGTTGATGATTTGCTTCATTGTAGTTGATAATATGCGGTTATGGGCGAGTGGTTGAGTTGCTGGGGCAGCTGTCACTGCCACACAATAAATACTCGCCCCTCACCTAGATTACCCCATTGTAGCCTCACTTTTTCTCTCTCTCTCCAAAGAAGTAATTATTAAGCAGGGTGGAGACGGTGGGTGTTTTGACGTCACCTGAAGAAGCTTATGTTGGGGTTGTGCAATCCGGAAGGGTGGGAAAAATGCACCCGAGTTAGAGTTAAAAGAATATGGGCCTGGATTGGGAAGGTAGTGGACTGTAGGGAGATACAGTGCCTAGGCAATTCTCCAACGGATGTTGTTCAGCCGTGATCCGTTCTGTCGGGCAACGGCAATTGTTGAAGAAAGTGGAGCCTCCCCGAGACGGGGCATACACGACTATCATGGATCGACCGATTTGAAAGCTTCTCGTTTCATATTTACATGTATTCGTCGCAAATCTAGCCTCTAGTCTATAGACTTTCTAGATCTATATCTACCCACCCTATAACCATAATGAAATGTCCAGGTCAAATTATAGCTTGCTCTTGGGCGGGCTGTTCTTCAGGACAGCCGAGTTCCAAGGATAGGGGTCGAACACCAGATCGTTGACCGGGTTCTGGCTGGCCCGGCGGAACAGATCAGGGTAAACGTCGCCATCGTACTTGCCCAGACTGCTGTCCAGCTGCCAGTCCGGAATCTTCCAGGCATCCACCAGCCGCACGGCGTGGGGCCGGATTTCATCCAGAAGCTTCATCACCGCGTTCTCCCGTGCCAAGCCAATCTGGCGGACCGTGACAGCGCTCGACGAGAAGAACTCGGAAGCTTCACGCTCCAAGGTGTGCAGAGCGTACAGACGGAACAGCTTCTGCAGGACCTCGGTCGTCGCTCCGTCCACGGCCGACGCCACCTCCTTCGAGTTGACGGCCTCGTAGAAGTTCTTGACAGCCAGGTACTGGGAGTGAGCAGTCGACAAGCGCCAGAAGTCGACCAGAAGACTGTTCCACGAGCGCTTCTCGACGTCCCGGTGCTTGAGCGCCTCGAAGGTCATGTGAGCCGTGCGCCAAGCAAAGGCAGCCACTATGTCGGCATCGTTACCGAGGATGTCAAACGAAGCGCCCTTGTCACGACGGCTGAGGTAGGTCTGCAAGATCTGGGAGGTGTCGTTGCCGGTTCCCTTGCCAGCAAGAACAGCGCGAGCAGATTTCAAAAGCTAAATCAGTCAGCGGAAATATCTTGGCAGATCGAAAACATCACGTCACTTACGTATCTTGCCACCTGCTGCGTCAGCATGTAATTGTCGCCTTCCCAGGTGAGAGTAGGGAGATAATCCGAGTACCAGGGCCCAATGCCGCTGAAACTGCTGTATCCATGACCACCGCAGGCACGACGGCACACCTCAAGACCTTCACCAGCCGTCGTACTGGCCAATGCCTTGAGACCGCAAGACGTAGCGTGGAGATCGGCCAACAAATCCGCTCCGGCCCTCAACTGCTCAGGTCCGGCACCACGCTTGTCCTGTCCCGGCTCCGAGGCAGCCTTCATGCGGGTCTGGTTCTCCTCGTAGAGTCGCTGCATGCCCCTACCGGTGAAGTGCAGGGCATACATCGACGCAAGCAAGGGAAGGAGACGGATCTGGACCATCTTGTAATTAAGCACCTGGTTCTCTCCTTCATGGCTCTTGGCATCGCGATCCTGGAACTGTCTACGCACAGCACAATACCGGGTGGCGATGGTAACACCGCGAGCAAGGACACCACCAGCCTGAAGAACAATGTTGGAACGGACCCAGGTCATGGTACCGTAAACCAAGGAAGGAGAAGCCGGGCGTTGGTACTCGCTAGTCGCCTGGTCCACGCGACAGAAGCGAGCCAGCATATTCACATGGGGAATCTTGACCTTGTTGAACAGAAGGAAACCATTGTCCATCGTGCTAGCAAAGTCAGCATGATCATCAAACATGGACGTGGCGGTCGGTACTCACTTATATCCGAACTTCGGTCCAATATCACCCACGTATACATTCTCCAAAGGCTGATGCGTCTCCATGTCACGGATCTGCACAACGAAAGGGTGAGGACCATAGTTCTTGCCCTTGATGTAAAGCTGCGCCATCACTACCGCGTGGTTGGCGGTACGTCCCAGAGAGCCGATCCACCATTTGGAGGCAGTCAGCGTAGGGGAGTGGATAGTGAATGTCTTGTCCTCCGGGTTCCAGGTTGCGGTGGTCTCAAGTCCACGGACATTAGACCCGTGACCCAACTCCGTTTGCGCATAGCATCCCAAGATCTTGTAATTCTGAGCCGGCTCGTAGAAAAGCTTGTGTTGCTCCGGAGTGCCTTGTTCCCGCAAGGTGACCTAGCGCAAAGAGATACCAATTTAGTTCTCGGCCAAACCGGGATGGGGAGAAAATTGATCCAGACATACCAGAAACATGGTGGCATGCAGACCATATGGCGTAGGCTCTGAAAGCAAGTCATTTGCAGTGTGAAATTCGGCGTCCGACCAGCGGTTTTGCTCAGCCAGCTGATGCAACCGCTTAGCCTTGGCCAGGGACCGTTGAATGCGCTCGGTCCGGCCTAAGGTGTGGTTGTCGGACTTGTCGAAGACTTTCTCCGACTTAAGGATAGACAGGATTTTGTCTTGACGGTCAAGGAAATCTTTCGTGTGAAGTAGCTCACCGAGCTTGTCCACTGCGACATTAGACTGAGCACGCTCCTCTTGAAGCAAGTGCGAGCCCTGCGGGTCGGCCGGCTTGAGGGCCTGAACCCAGTCGGGAGGTGGAGATGGCATTGTAAGATAGAATGGATCTGGGGAAAAGAAAATCTGTGGGAAGAAGCTGTAGAAATGAACCTGGGGGACAGGGGGTGGGGAAGGCGTTATAAAAAGGCCAGATTCCGGGGGAAGTTGGTGAAGCGGGAATAAGCCCAGCAGCGTTGGGATTATTCGGTCGAGACCCGTCGGCTGTCGGCGCTGCCCAATGCAGTAAGTACCGAGGCAAGTTGCATTGCAGCCTTGGTGCCTGATTACGGGGAGGGGCGAAGAGGCAAAATTGCCGACTGGCAAACCTCCATCGGACCGATCTTTACCGAGTCATCCCTTCCTCAAGCTGCAGTGCAAGTACTCGTGTTTATCTGATCGCTATCACGAGCTGGGATCAGTAGCAGTTCGAGTCCATTGCTGGTCTCATGGTTTCAAATATCAGGACTGCGATAAGTCGGAATCAGCTTCACATGTATTGTCACAAGCCGTGTGAGTAGTTGCTTTGTGTTGCTGCTCAGCCTGGCCACCATGCAATAATAAAATATAGAAATTCGAGAATCAGATCACAGCACCATGTTACTGCAAGGCGCGCTCAAAGTTCCGGTCGGATATCAGACGGACACTGGCTTTTCTATCTACTATGAAGAATTTCAGTTGCATGCTTATCAAGGCGGCCTGAAATCGAGTCCCAATCTTCAAGTCACTAACCTGAGGCCACAGACGAGAGCCCGGTAGATCCACTCTCACATGTTGAAGCTGAACCAGCATGGTCCACGTGCACCTCTCACACCCTCGCTCTCGATGCCAGTAATTGAGGCTCAGTCTACGTTCCGATCTTCAACGATCGCGTTCCCCGTATCGGTTGATAACTCCGCCATAGCTTCAATCTGCTGCGAGTTCCCGTACGTGTCTGCATACCGCGCCAACATCCACTCTTGCACTGTGATGGGAGGGTATTTGGCCGCCTCCGTTTCCCCTTTGCAACTCGGAATACACTCCACCAGATAGTCCGGATTGCCCGAAAAGAAGAACGGCGCACTATATCGCTCCTCTCCACTTCTGTTGATCACTCGGTGGAGGTTGGATAAATATCGATCGTTCGTCCAGCGCATCATCATGTTTCCCAGGTTGACCACCAACGCGCCGGGAACAGGATCAACATCTGCCCATTGAGATGCCTCGCGGTCCCAGACCTGAAGTCCGCCTATATCGTCTTGCAGTAGGATAGTGAGGCCGCCGAAATCCGTATGCGCGCCGATGCCTGCAAAATCGACTCAGTACTGCTATTTGTCGGGGTGTTGGTTCTGCGTACCTCGCTCCAAACTTGATTCGTCTGTTTCCTGCGGCGGGTAGTGCAACAACCGCAGAATGGTCGCTGAGTCGCGGCAGAACTCGTCGAACCAGTCCTCTTGCAGCTCTAATGTCAATGCTAGTATGCGGAAGATCTCTACAGATAGGTAGGTCATGAGGCTGTGGTAGTCATTTACCACAGCGCGAAACTGCGCTGGGTCTTCAATTTCCGCCGGATATTTGTTTGCACCCTGCGAGAACTTCCCAGCCTTCACGGCGGGATGGTCCGGAGCCAGCTCTCGGCAGAGGTAAAACCCTTCTTTTAAGTCGCCGGGTCCTCGTTTCTCGAAGTTCTGTGCGCGAAGGTGTTCATACCCCAGGTTCGGTGTGCCGATGTCTAGTTGTCTCACAGGTCAGCCTACTCTCAGTCGCTGAAGCCAAAGTAATGATTCAATGAGCGAACTACCCATGCTGTATTTCTCTTTCACCTCAGCTGGAAGACTGAAAAGGGCCCGGGCTTGCTCGAGAACATTCTGTTGAATGTCAAGGGGAATGCCATGGTTGACCAGCTGGAAGAATCCATGTCTCTCGCACGCTTCTCGAATTTGCCGGACGAGGGTTGCTTTCTTTTCTGGATCGGCTTCGTTCCAAACTACAAAGCATTGTCAGTGATGCACAATATGTACATCTGATATCGGCTTCGAACCTCCAAAGTCAATAATAGGCGGTGCTGTTGCCATGGTGCTGCTATTGACTGATTTGTGTTGAGGTCAGTGAAGTATTGCGGGGTAAGCGCTTGGACACGTGGACTTGCATCCCCTGGCTTTTAAACTACTTTGATGAACAATAATGCAGAGAACTGAAGAAGTCTCAAGTTTGAGCTAAATTGCTAAATATCGAATTGTTCGAAGGCGGACTGGCTGGACAAAGAACACTCTGTTCTCAAAGCTTGGAAAGAACGCCATCTGGTTTGAGGATCGACAAATGCCTCCTTTGGATCTCCTTAATCGAACGGCATCTACTCGGATTAGCATTGGGACGAACCCTCTTAAACGGAAGCCTTACCCAGCCAGTGCCATCGTGATCATCAGCTCGTTTCGCAGGATCTGAATGGCCAGCTCCACACCTTTCTGGCCGTCGTACTGGAGGTTTGTCATTAGTAATGCCATCTCAGGAGATGAAAAAGAATACGTACCGCCAATCCCCAGATCGGAATTCGTCCGACGAAGCAGAAATCTGCGCCCAGAGCAATGGCCTTGAAGATGTCGGAACCGCGTCGAATGCCTCCATCGATTGCGATCTGGATACGACCCTTGGCAACCGGTGCGCATTCTCGCAGAGCATCCAGAGTGGCCGGGACACCGTCGAGTTGGCGACCCCCGTGGTTGGAGATGACGACGCCGTCCAGGCCGTATTGAATGGCGAGCTCAACGTCTTCGGGGGTATATACTGTGGAGATGTTCATAAGAGGTGGTCTCGGACGAGTCAGCTAAGGCTTGTTCTTACCTCCTTTCAACCAAATTTGCAGCGTTGTGTTTTCCCTGAGCCAGGGGATGGTGCTTTCCCAGTCCAAACTCGGATCTAACGCAACCTCAAGTCAACAAATCGCGGGCATCATCGTGGTTCAAGTTTCCAACCTACCATACTCAGTCCGGTTGGAAGTATCACTGCCGCAACTTAGGATATTCGGCCATTCCATATCCTCCGGCAGGGTGTAGTTGTTCCGGTGCTCATTCAGACGTTTCCCTAAAACAGGCACGTCTACCGACAAGAAAAGCGCCTTGTAGCCTGCCTTCTCGGCTCGGCGCAGAAGCTGTAGCGTGATTGACCGATCCCTTAAAACACACATCTGCATTACATATGGATTCCCACGGCCCTGACTGGCCACATCCTCCAGCGAATAGTTCGAATATGAGGAAAGACCCATGCAGATGCCATGGTTGGCAGCAGCACGTGAGGTTGCCAGCTCGCCGTCCGGGTGCGCAAGTTTGTGTGACGCTGCCGGGCTGAATCCGATAGGGAGGGATACCTGTGCGCACAGGAGTTTAGTATTGGTACGACACAGCCATATTGAGAGAATAGAGAAAATGCTGTACCTTCGTGCCAAGAACTTCAGTACTAGTGTCCACCTTGTCTACGTTGATTAAGATGCGCGGGCGGATTTTGTACCGGTCGAATGCCGCCTCATTCTCACGCAGTCTGAAGTTGTGTTAGCGATGTAGGCGTGACAATTGAATCGGACGTACGTGATGAGATCCATGGCGCCCTCATTATAGTACTCTATTGCGCGTTAGCTAGACGCTTGTGCTGGCCATGCTCGGTGCAGCAGCATACCTCTGACCATCACGGGGAGGTTCTGGCTCCCAAGAGCCTTCAGATCTGCGATGCAGCTGACATTTTTGTCATAGCTCACTCCACGATGGGCCATTCTCAAGATGCTCAAGGAGAAAAGGAGTCGAACTAGGAAAAGGTGATGGTAAGAGAGTAATGGCTAGACTGCAGAGAACGGGTGTCGCATTCAGCACCTTGGTGGTGTTATATGAAAGGGAAGCACACTGGCGCATGACACGTTTTAGGAGAGATTTCCTAAAACGGTATGAGATTGCCATAGTAAGACGCAGCGCATCTACTATGCAAGACTCCGCATCTCTAAGCACCGGTCGGAGATATCGTCTAGGATAGAGAGATATTGCTTTCATGTAGGTATAGTTGTTTTAGAGTCGAGGCAGATCTTCCCCGGGATCACCTTCCTATCCGGGACCACTACTCAAACCCCTCCATCTTATACATCGCGGGGTCTTTTCTTCTCCCCTCATCCTTCACTCTCATCACTCCTTGACAATACGATATCGACGACCGAATTTCCCAACGCACCAACAGACACAGATCTATTCACAATGGCGAGAATTTTCCTGTAAGAACGAACACCCCCGCAGTCGTCCATGAAATCATGCTTACCACTCTTCAGGACTGGTGCGTCAGGCTACATTGGCGGCGATGTCCTCCACGCTCTTCGATCAGCTCTACCTAAATGCGATTACAGTGTCCTCTTGAGGGACGAAGAGAAGGCGAAGAAAGTCCAGGCTGCTTACCCCAACGTGCGCGTGGTAATGGGGGATCTAGACGCTGCTGCTATCATTGAGAAGGAGGCCACTCAAGCAGACGTTGTCATCCGTGAGTTTGCTCGCTTTGAGGGCCATCAATCATTTTGCTAATCACATGCTCTCCCTATAGATGCCGCAAGCACCAACCACATCAAGAGCGTCGAAGCCATTGCACGTGGTCTGTCAGCAGAAGCTAGAACGAAGCCTGGTCAGTAGTGATGGTCGAGTTGAAAGGCGAGCAATAGTTGATAGTGATTACCAGGCTGCTGGATCCAGATGTCCGGCGCCAGCGTTCTTTCCATGCTCGATATTGAAAGCAACACATTCGGCCAGGCATCAAGCAGCATCTACAGCGACGTCAACGGCGCCGAGGAGGTGCATGCGCTGATCAAACGCTACTCGTCTAAGCGCATTGTTGACAACTTTGTCGCCAACTTGCCTCCGGCGGCCACGCGACCCAAGACCGCTCTCATCTTCGGCCCGATCATCTATGGTCGCGGCCGAGGCGCTGTCAAGCAGCGAAGCATTCAAATCCCCGAGCTTGCGCGGGCCAACCTGCAGCGTCGGGAGGGTGTTCAAGTGGGCAAGGGCGAGAGCACCTGGAGCAACGTCCACATTGCAGACTTGAGCAACATCTTCGTCAAGTTGGTGGAGAAAGCACTAAAGAATGCGGACGGCGAGTTGTGGAATGAGGATGGGCTATACTTTCCGGTGAACATCGAGATGCTAGTGAGTGCATTTACTGTCCGTGTCGTGCCCCAGTTGCTAACAGTGTCTAGTCGTTCAAGGAGATCTCACAGCGCATCGCACAGGAGGTCTACAAACTCGGTCTTGCAGACTCAGCTTCTGTGAAGGAGGTTGACCCTAGCGACGCGGACTCTATCACGCCCCATGCTGCAATTATTCTGGGTACAAACGCGAAACAGGTGGCTCAAAGAGCTCGCCAGTACTTGAACTGGGTGCCCGAACGACATAGTTTGGAAGAGGAGATTCCCCTTGCTGTCAGGGCTGAAGTAGAGGGATTGGGCTTGGCGTAGCTTCTAGGCTTCGATTTAGAAATTAAACATATGTCCCCAAGCCATTATCGCAATCTTTACTGAATTTTCTTGATCGGCCCTGGGCTTCTGTTCGCATGTTCTTCTTGGTTCGTAATCGTAACATACATCATCAGTATAGCGTTTTAATTTCTAATTGTCTTCGCTATTTCTTTTTCTTATCGACAGACGTCCGCACTAACCCCAAAGAAGCAGGTACTTCCGACAGGAACCGCAAGCGAAAAAGGAAAGAGATTCCGCGGAAAGTGAGGGGTTGCAGATTGTCGTGCTTCCTGATATAGCAACAACCTGTCCATTACCCCAGATTCACCATGATAGCAAAGCTGAGTCTCAGACTCAAACATTCTGAATTACAACCATCGCTACGATTGACAACCACTTCCGATGCCATGGCAGGGTCCAAGGCATCAGGCAACCGATCCCGTCGCACCCACGCTTTGGGAGCTTGCAAGACCTGTCGTCGCCGACATGCCAAATGCGATCAACGGAGGCCCTCGTGCCAGATGTGCCGGGCCAGCGGGGTGACATGTGAGGGGTTTACTGACGATATTCGCTGGGTAGCAGCACGCAAGCATCAATCGCCGCCGCGAACGAGGGACTGGAAAATCAAGAAAGATCCGGCTAAGTTGGGCCCGAGACGTCTTCTTTACACAGGTGATTGACTCTGTCACATCTCCATGATGGCCTCTAATGACTTAATTCAGAGCAGTCACGGCTTTCCATGAGTGATGCCTTGAGCGCGGAACTAGTATCGGGGTCTATCGATGCCTCATTAGCGGAGATCGATAGCCGGGCGAGGGACTCAGACCGACCTACCGAGGAACATATCGTGGTCGGGCCTTTCTCTGTGCTGGATCTATCGGGTCCGAAGCATGAAGAAACTGCCTCGCAGCCACAAGGGTCCAGGGCCACGGAGGTCGTGAGCCCTCCGCCGATACCGGCACCCCTGGTTGAAACCAGCTCGGTCGTAAGCCCGTCACTGTCGCAGGAGTCGATTGCTTACATGAATGATCTGCTACAATGGTCGGATCTCTTCAGTATCGACCTTCAAATGCCAGACTCTATGATGTCAACAGCTTTTGATATTGGTGATGCTCTTTTCCTCGAGCCAGATGCACAGGCTGCTGTCAATGGTGGTGCGGTAGGGACAACAGATCCAATCCTCGATATAAATAGGGAGCAGGGAGGAACGCACTCGACCTTAATCCCACAGCCACCCTCGACCCTGGCCAGTGATCCGGTCAATGTGTTAGCTGATGCCCACTTTCTGCTGCGACATTTTCAAGACCATGTCATCTCTCGCATGTCAGCCATTCCTCTCGAGCAAAAGTCTCCGTGGAAGATCACGAATGTGCCATCCGCAGTGGTGACGTACAGTGATTTGACCTTTCTCGGGTCGCAGAACATCAGCCATGCTCGTTTAGCGAACCTATATTGCCTTCTGGCATGTTCTGCGCTGCATTTGACCCTTAATCCATCGATGAATACATCAGAGTCTCGGGTGAACTGGCAAGCGATCGCTGAGCACGCATATAATCTGGCCAAGGACCATATGCAAACATCACTAAGACATGAGATTCAACCCAAAGCTGCCAAGTACAAAGACCAGCTGATGGCCATCTGTGCCTTGACTGAATTTGCTGTAAGTTTCATGCATCAATTGCAAACCACAGTTGAAGCATCTTGCTGACGCCACGTAGATTATCAGCGGCCAGCAGCAAGACGCACGATGCTATATGGTCGACGCTGAGCGGCTACTGCGCTTGCGGGGCCTATCCAAGCGACGCATATCCCAGAAAGCCCGCCTCCTTCACCACGTATACACTTGGCTCCGGATCATCGGCGAAAGCACCTACACCCTACACGACTATACCCCTTCGGAGCATTTCATGAACGCCTTGAAATGCTCGTTCCGATGTGAGAGATCTGATAGCATCACCAAAGCTAGTGCCACCAGCGAACAGACATCACGATTGGACGACTTCCTCCGTCTAGCCCGCGGCCCGTCCGACAGCGACTTGAATATCAACGAACCCAAGAGCCAAGACGTCGGTCTCCATGACATCCACCTCCAGGACTCCCGCAGCTACCCGGATACTCTGTATCAGCAAATCTATGGCATCCCGGAGACCTGGCTGAGTCTGGTCTCCCAAACAACACGTCTGGCCAACGTGATGGAAACCTTCCGGGTGGCCCGGCGGACGCCGCAGGTGAAGGAAGCCAGCATCGAAGCCTGGGACGCGCTGCACCGCCGCAGCGCCCGGCTCGAGAATATGGTCTGCGCTTTAGCCTCGCGCAAAGTCGAGAGTGCAAGCACGTCCCCGAATCTCTCGGAGGTGTGCTCCCAGGCGCACGAGTACCTCCTCGAGGCGCTGAACTCGGCGCTGGTCATCTTCTTCTACCGTCGCATCCGCGAAGTACATCCGCTGATCCTCGAAGGCCACGTCGACAAGGTCGTTTCATCGCTCAGCAAATTCGATGCTGCGTTGACCGAAGCAGGACAGACCGGGCCGGGCACCGCGTGGCCACTGTTCATTGCGGGGTGCGAAGCGACCAATCCCGAGCGACGGCGCGAGGTTCTGAAACTGCTGGACAGGGGAGAAGCGCGGTGCGGGTTCGCGGGGTTCCGCGTGGCGCGCGATGTTATGAAGGAGGTCTGGACGCAGCAGGACGAGCACATCACTTCCAGTCGCGGCGAGTCCATCCCGACGTGGTTGCATGTGACCAAGCGAGGGCAGATCTGGCCTATCCTTGCTTAGAGTGATTTAGGTTGTAGCATTACTGTACATACGAAGTAACGAGGTTAACGACTTGGAACGCAATTTCGTCTATGATATTTTCCATTTCCGGTAGATGAGGACAAATCCAACGCTATTTTGCTCCAAGGGTCTGGTGGAAGAGGGACGGGGTAGGGAATAAGCACAACAGAAAGCGATTCTCTGGAGAGACCAAACTTTTCTGGAATGGTAATGTCTACGGGGGAAGCTTCTCATTCCAAAGATCATAATTGCGTAAACTCACACGTCGTCGTGCTCATGGCAGGTTTACCGTCCCCGTCCCCCGGAGGATGGAGATGCCCTAACTCAGGACTGAGTCTTGCACTACCCCCTGCCCCTGGGACGAACCATTCCGACAGTGGCCGTCACAGGTCCATGCATCCATGCACCCAGACTCATCTACTCGAAGCTTGATACCGAGTGGGACATACAAAAGGCTAGTCGAGGCAGGGCAGCCCGTCCCGCTCGTGCCCATCATATACTTAGCATATAAACAGCCCCAGCCGACCGTACATGGTTCTTCCGGTAGTATTTGGCATACTACCTGAACAATTGATCAGCGGAGTTGTTCCCTGAGCTTAACACTCCAGCCAGTCCCTCGTAGGGCGCAGGACTCACGTTCCTGGCAATCGATTGATCTGATCAGGGAGAATATTCCGGGATCTTAGAGCTTCAAGGTTTATATTATCCTGTAAGAGCGATTTGTCAAGAAGCAAGAAGACCTTGGGTTCTTCCCTCATAGCAGGCAAGAAAAAGTATGGTGGATGGATAGCTGTATAAGGAGAGAACAGTTTGGAACAATTGAAACAATGATAGATATCTTGACTAACTTAATGAAAAAGCCGACGATCCCCAGGATCTGATGTAGATGTCAAGCTACCTGTTCGCTGTATACGACAAAAACAAAAGCCAAAACAATCAAGGTAAGCCCTCAGAAGCTGGTGTCAAACGTTATAGTCTAATCCTGATGACAGGCGATCAGCTGTCTTTTTCGCCCTTGCAGAAACAAGCAAGAAACTGGAGTTTAGACGGATTCTTGATCATCTGCAAGGGAGAAACCCGGAACAAATAAAACGTCAGTTTTTCTGTAGCTTGTTGATGCTAGCTATTACATGGTTTGCAGTAACGGGGATTCTCCACTACTCTAGTGGTGGTGATATCCCCGGCGATGAGGTCAACGTCAACGTTCGGTGTAAGGCCTCTGGAGAATCGCCGCATATTGCCTATGCAAGACAAACTGCAGATCTGACATCTTGGTCAGGGCTGACAATTACGTCAAGGTTCGCAAAGCGTATGGCGCAAGGAACCCCACCCCCTTGCGCTACGATACCCGAGTCTGTATGGTGCGGCATAAGCGGCCGGCGAATGAGACCGATCATGTATGTACACAGAATGCGATGGGGGCAGGGTTCCAAATTTGAGCACTGAAGCATGAGGCTGACGAGGAACGTCTTGCACACCGCTCCCCGGCTCCTTCTCCACGCACGAGAATTTGTCGATCGACTGGCCCATAAATCAATGGCATAGTGTTGTTCTCTCTTTCCGAAGCAACTGCCATTCTGTAGTAATAGCAGTCAAGGTCGCAGACACAACAACACGAGTCCGGAATGACAGTCACCAATGGGGTTGGACCGGCCGGGGTCGCCGAGCCCCGATCCAGCGGCATTGAGGTGATCATTGTGGGGCTGGGCATCGCGGGACTGGTGGCTGCCATCGAGTGCCATTACAAGGGCCATACGGTGATCGGGCTGGAGAAGAGTCCCGAGGTTCGTGTTTTAGGTATGTATCCCGAGGTCGTAGCCACACCCACCCAGCCGCTCACGATGGTTGACGGAGTATACAGGGGATAGCATCGCCCTGGGAAGCAATGCGACCAAGGTACTGCAGGCCTGGGAGCAAGGTCAAGTGTACAGACAGCTCGTCACGCAATCGGACGATGTGGCCGCCTTGGAGGTCCTTGATCCTGCGGGGAAACTGTATGCCCTGGATGCGATGGATAGCTACGGCGTCGGGGAGGGGATGATCATCCACCGGGGCACGCTCATCACCGGGCTGTATCGCCATGCCACCTCCTTAGGGATTGAATTACGGTTCGGGGCAGCGGTCACCGCATACTGGGAGTCGGAGGACGGCGAGCAGGCGGGCGTGACCGTGAACGGAGAGCAGAACATCTCCGCCGACTGTGTTATAGGCGCCGATGGCGTGCACAGTAGGACCCGAGATTTTGTGCTCGGGTATCGCATTCCCACGCAAAAGTCTGGGCTGGCCGCGTATCGGTCATGCTTCAGTGCAAAACTCGTGGCGGGGGATCCGGATGCCGCATGGATCTTGAAGGAGGAGGGCGAGCGAGATCGCATGCGAAGTTATATCGCGAACAGAGGCCTGGGACTGACCCTGGCCACGGGGAAACGGGGTCAGAATGTGGTCTGGCAGGTTTGGCACCGAGTACGTATCCTCTGCCTGACAGACTGAATGATGTACTGATCGAAAGAATCTCAGAACGAGACGCAGTCGGCCGAAACCTGGGAGACAACCAGCAAAGCTCGTGTGGAGGATGCCCTGGCCCTCTTGCAGGACTGGCCAATCTACTCGAAGGTTGCCGCCGTCCTCCGGCATACCCCAGACGAGATGCTGGCGGACTATAATATCATCGTCCGTGATCCGCTGCCGCGTTGGATCTCCAGTGGCGGACGCATCATGATCCTCGGCGATGCCGCCCACGTCATGTCCCCAATGGTGGGCCAAGGGGGTGGGCAGTCGATTGAGGATGCGGCGACGCTGGCCATCTGTCTGGAGCTGGCGGGCAAGTCGCGCGTGCGCCTGGGTCTGCAGGCCGTCCAGGATCTCCGATACCAGCGGACACGCCTCATCCAGGAAAGTGGGAATGCCATCTACGAGCAGTGGCGCGATCCCGACTGGGAGGCCATCGAGAAGAATCCGGCGATAATCAAACTCCCCCGCCCTGAGTGGATCTTCGGGTATGATGTTCACCAAGATGTGTACAAGGAGTTTCCGGCGGTCCAACGGGCAATTCAGGATGGGAGCACGTACCGACCCCGCAATGTCCCAGAAGACGGTGAATACCAGAGTGCGTATGACTCCAAGGCGAGTGCCATACCGTAGAAGTTTTCGATTTCCGCAATTAGCCAGCTCATCATCGGCCTTTTTCACCAAGGGCATATAAAACTATCTAGACAGTAGGCAATGGTCAGAGACACCACCGTCGAGGCCTTTGGAGGGACTGCGGGTGACATGGGGGCTGCATCGGGTGTTGCCTTTGGTGTTTATTTTTGATCTGTGATCTGAAAGTAATGTACAGTAAATGGCTTGACGAAATACACCAAGGAAGAATCACTTTCACTGGAGGTTACTGGTAACTCATAGAGTAAGTACTCAGGGCACGCACGCACGCACTTTGGTGCTCACCGCACAGGCTGATGATCGGTCGGTAGAAAGCGGCATCATTCAGTTGTGCAAAAAGAGAAGGTAATTCCTCGGAATGATTGCCGCAAGAATTAACGAGCGAATGGCCCACTCGGCGATAAACATGCCTCTTTGAGCGATAGACTATCGATAGCGTACTGAGGGGTAGTTCCATATCTCAAAGCCTCCCTTATCAGAACCGCGACCGCGGGACAGCTGGAGCCCCGCTGATTCCTCCATTCCGAATCAGTCCAGCCAAACCGACAACTTATTCCCCAAATCCAGTTTAGGCAGTTCTAGCCTGACACTCCACAAAACCGAGCTATCTGCTGTCTGCTGCCATTGTGACTGTCTTGTCTTGTCTCTTCTTTTCTTTCTCTCGTCTTTGTCTGTTCAACTTGGGAGATTCTTTCTGTGACTTTGCGCCAGGATGTCCGACCTTTTCGTCGAGCTTACCACGCCGAACGGCCGCCAGTACAAGCAGCCCACGGGGCTGTTCATCAACAACGAGTTCCGCCCGTCGTCTGGGGGACAAACCATTGTGTCGCTGGACCCAGCGTGAGTAGCTTGTCTAGCTCCGCAGCGAGACAGACACAGTCGCATGGTGCTGACGATCGCAGAACGGACAAGCCGATTGCCACGGTGCACGCGGCGACCGCGGAGGATGTCGACGCCGCCGTCCAGGCCGCCAAGGCCGCCCTCGCCCATGCATCATGGAAGCAGCTGCCCGCCACCGAGCGCGGCCAACTCATGGGCCGACTCGCCGACCTGATCGAGCAGAACAGGGAATTGTTCGCGGCCATTGACGCCTGGGATAATGGTTGGTTCTCCTTCAGAGGCCCCCCCCCGCGGCAGCACTCGACGGTTAGCGATAGAGCGGCTCTAACATGACACACCAGGAAAACCATACCACGTTGCATTCAACGAGGACCTCACCGAAGCTATCAACACCATCCGCTATTACAGCGGCTGGGCTGATAAGACCTACGGCCAGACGATCAGCACCACCCCCCAGAAATTCGCATACACCCTCCGCCAGCCCCTTGGGGTCATCGGGCAGATTATCCCTTGGAACTACCCGCTGTCCATGGCGGCCTGGAAGCTTGGCCCTGCCCTGGCTTGCGGAAACACCGTGGTTATCAAGGCCGCCGAGCAGACGCCGCTGAGTATTTTGGTTCTCGGCACGTTGATCAAGGAGGCTGGGTTCCCGGCTGGTGTGGTGAATATCATCAATGGGTACGGTCGCGAGGCGGGAGCGGCTCTTGTGCAGCACCCGCTGGTGGACAAGGTGGCCTTTACTGGTTCCACTGCCACCGCGCGCGAGATTATGAAGATGGCTGCCGGTACGCTTAAGAACATCACACTCGAGACGGGTGGCAAATCGCCTCTGCTGGTGTTCCCCGATGCCGACATGGAGCAGGCGGTCAAGTGGTCCCACTTCGGCATCATGTCGAACCAAGGCCAGATCTGCACGGCGACCTCGCGTATCTTCGTGCACCGGGAGGTGCTGGACACCTTCCTGGAGCAGTTCAAGAAGGAGGTTGAAACGACGTCCAAGATCGGTGATCAGTGGGATGAATCGACATACCAGGGCCCTCAGGTTACACGCGCGCAGTACGAGAGAGTGCTGTCGTATATCGAGCTGGCCAAGAAGGAAGGCGCCAAGCTGCTGATTGGTGGCGGCGCATATACTCCTGCTGACAGCAAGTTGGAAAAGGGATACTTCGTCCAACCCACGGCGTTCACGGATGTCACGGATGACATGCGTATCGTGCAGGAGGAGGTGTTTGGACCTGTGGTGGTCATCATGCCGTTTGACTCGGAGGAGGAAGTTATCCGCCGCGCCAATAATACCACGTATGGTCTAGGTGCTGCAGTCTTCACGCGAGACCTGGAGCGGGCTCACCGGGTGGCGGCAGAGATCGAGGCAGGTATGGTCTGGGTCAACAGCAGTCAGGACTGCGACCCCCGCATTCCTTTTGGAGGAGTGAAACAGAGTGGTATTGGCCGGGAGCTGGGTGAGGCTGGCTTGGAGGCGTACTCGCAGATAAAGGCAATCCACATCAACATGGGGAGTCGACTGTAGATAGACCATCCTGATAGACGATCGTGATGCCACCAGTTGAATGTTTATGATGATACACCGTTTAAGAAGAGATCTCAACCGGTTGAGCAAATCCGCCAATCACAAAGTCCGCAATTTTGGGATCCTTGCTTCTGTCTCATTAACTCGCAGGACCAACTCCGTCTTTTGTCGAGCTTGTAACTCGCCGCTGCCCTCGCCGCTGTCCAAAGCATGGAAGTCATCATTGCATGAAAAGGCTTACTGCGAAGAACGCAGTGGAAGACACTCGCTGTCCATTCACTAGTCCTGATCTGTGGTCTCCACACCAAAGGACGCATGTGAGAGAGAGGAGAAAGCAGGACAGCCATAAAAAGCTCTGCTGCTGTTTGCTTTCCCTTTCTCCGGATTCGTTCACTCTCAGTCCAGCATCGTCCTTGCCCATTTGTGTATACCCCTATCATACCGACAGACGACAGGAGGATGACGTTACCAATGGGAGGCCTGCTCGATGGAGTTTAAGGGGAGATCCAACGACCAACGACGAGACGAATGATTTTGCACCACACATCCAAGGGCCGACACAACAATCAATGTGCACAATGATGTCACGATCCGTTGCTCACGCAGAGTCAAGCATCAAGACTACACGACCCTTGCGGACATTCAGCAAGGCCGACCGAGATTTGTTGAGCCCGGAGTAGGCATGGTTGGCATGACTGATAGGTGGTGAAGTTTGAAAACAGCAAGGACGAAATGGAGGGAAAAGAGGTCAGGTGCGTGTACCACAATGTGTTACCTGACACCGTGCCAATCATGCGTGCTGGGAACAAGATGCTATTGTTCCTTATAGTCGTGGCCTGAATTATAGTTCATCGTGGGTCTTTATGCATACTTCTGGACAGCACCGAAGAAGATCTAAGCTCCTTCATCCCGATCCTGTTGGTCCTTCAGCATCACACAGCCAAGTTCAAGAATCAACGCACGGAACAGCATTGGATACAGGTTGGCAGCCCTCAAGGAACTGGGTTGAGTTCCCCCTTGCGCATAACTTGCGGAACGATGGTAGTTGTTGGGAAACGCAGCCAACCAAGTTTACGATGGATGCCGGCCATCGTACATATGCTTCATATTCGTACGACTATCACATGCCACCAATGCCTTTTCTACAAAGATTATACACCGCTTCGGTGACTAGTCTAAGTTTTGACGAGCTCATCCGATACGTCCTCTTGTTCTCTGCTTGTTGAGGTATGCGGCTTGGATGAGGCGATTGTGTGACGGATCGGCGATGGAATGCTTCAGCAGCGCATCTTGATTTCCTCCGATGTTGGCAATGATCTTGGAAGCCGTTATTCGAGCTCAAGTTAGAAGAGTCGGTGTGGCCTAGTTCGGCGTGGCGGCAAGGCAGGGCAACTTTCCCCTTTGCGGCGGCAGGACGTCATACAGGTTGTTGTCGTTCAGGGGGACAGATAAAATGAGCTGTGGGCCAGGGCTACCAACGACTGAGTAGACTTGAGTCCTAGCTTTTGAAACAAGTCGTGACGATGACGACAGCCGCTTTACCACCACCATGCATCCTTCCTACCGTGTCCGTTTCGGCCCGTGCTGATGCTTCCGCCAGAACCGCGCCGAACCCGGAAGAGCGCCAATCACTGGTGTTGGAGTGGCCCCAAACAGATGTGCGGGAGTGGCTTGAGAAGAGTGGAAGCAAAGTAGATTCTCTGGCGCGGGTGGCTTGGGCTCTGGTGCTTCGAAGCTATACCTCTCTGGATCACGTTTGCTTCAAGCTTGCCACGAGCTCGCGGGAGAGCAAGCTTTACGATTGCCACATCGACGGGACAAGCAGCCTCCAGAACCTTCTGCATGAGGTAGAACGATGCGAGAAAGACGAGTGCTGCCGCGAGAACTCGGCGTCCCTCTGCAGGAATGAACTCGGAAACGCACATGGTGTTTGTAACACCATGCTTGCAGTTGAGCTGGAAGGCGGGATACGGGGTCAGCTTGTGGAGTTGCGGAGCGTGTGTACCTACTTCCATCGCACGTTCATTGAATGATAAGACTTGGGCTAAGAGGTACACAGGCCACCCTGATAGTGAAGATCAGCTCTAGCCACGACCCTTCGACATTCCGAACAGTGTTTGAGTTCGACTCTATGAGCTGGTCTTGTCAGCAGGTCAGAGCAGTGGCTCACACCTTTCACCACACAATATCCGCCGTCATTCGAGACCCCCCGAGTCAGAGACCTGGACTTGTGCAGTGAAGTGGATATTGAACGCATGGCCAGGTGGAATATGCCTTTCAGGAGAACCGTTGAGGACCAATGCGTCACGGAGATCATTCTGCGATCTTGTCGCGAACGGCCCGACTCCACGGCAATCTCAGCCTGGGATGGGGAAATCACTTACAGCGATCTGGAACGACAGAGCGCTAGGCTTGCGACAAAGCTGTTGAGGATTGGCGTTGGCCCTGAGGTGACTGTTCCTATACTTATGGAAAAGTCGAAATGGTTGGTGGTCGCGGCCTTGGGCGTCATTCGAGCGGGCGGTTCCTTCCTCACTCTGAATGTTTCGCACCCATTTGAGCGCATTGAGAGGATAGTCCGGACTGTCTCAGCGCCACTCGTAGCGTGCTCGCGCGGTTGCGAAACGCTAGCCCGTCGCTTGACCGAGAAGACCATTATCATTGATGATGCTGCAGCATCTCTCGAACAGGAGATCGATGATGAAGCTTTGCAGCAACAGCAAGACCGATCATCACCATCAGATGCTCTGTATGTGGTCTTTACCTCGGGAAGTACGTCAGAGCCCAAGGGTCTGGTACTTGAGCATAGGGCATTCTCTGCCTCGGCATTGGCAACGATTGGCCCGTTGAGGCTGGGGCCGGAGACGCGCCGTGTACAGTATGCGGCAAATGGCTTTACCATGTGTAACCGCGAGATCCTGCTCATGCTCATGGTGGGAGGCTGCCTCTGCATTCCATCCGAAAACGATATAAGGACGGATCTGGCAGGGTTCATCAACCGCCACCGTGTTAATTATGCATTTTTGACGCCAGTTTTGCTAGACAGCCTGAAGCCCACAGATGTCCCACCCCTTCGTGTGCTCTTGCTAGGGGGTACGACAATTGGTATGTCCCAGATAAAGAAGTGGACAAATCATCTCCGAGTGATGTATGGGTATGGGGCGACTGAAACGGCTGGAGTTGCCGTTCTGGTCCCAGAGATTGAGCCAGGATGGGATGAACGCAGCGTCGGATATGCCTGCGACCATTGCCTCTGGGTCGTGGATGTGAATAATCCGAACCGTCTAGTGCCCGTGGGTGCCATCGGGGAGCTAGTGCTTCAGGGCAAGGGCCTTGCAAGGGAATATCTAGGTGACGAGGAGAAAAGTTGTCGTGTGTTCTTGAAGTCAGCAGACTGGCAATCCCGACTGGCTCCGTACGGATATGGCAGCTCTCAAGAGCGGCTCTACCGCACAGGAGATCTGGTACGATACAATCTGGATGGGTCTATCCAGTACATCTCACGAAAGGACAGCGTGGTCGAAGTGGGCGGCCGAAGAGTAGACCCCGGGGAGGTTGAGCATCATATTGCAAACTGTACGGACCTCGTGAGTCGAGGGGTACGAAATGTTGCCGTTGTGGCAGCTAATGCACCAGAGAATTGTGGCAGGACTGTGCGGGTGCAGCTCACTGCAATCATCGAAACTGACGTAAGCTCCACGCAGTGTTCAAGGGAATCGGCTTCAGGGAGTTTGAACATGGTTCGATCCGATCCGAACGGTGAATTGGCAGCAGTAATCAAGGAGTATCTGCTAACCCAGGTCCCTCAATACATGGTTCCGCCTCATTTCTTTCTCATCAATCACATGCCCTTAAACAGATCAGGGAAATTTGATCGGCTCCGGTTGAAAACTGTGGTATCTGAGATGCTGACGCTAGCCAATGAGAAGCATTGTGACTTTGAGCCAGAGAAGTTTTGTCCGAGCCCGGTGGCTAGTTCAACGCGGTCAAACATGAACAAAGCGACAGGGCCGCAAGCTCCTATGGCCGATGATGCACCGAATGGCGTGTTGGCTCAAATAGAGCAATTGCGGAAACTGATCGCTCAGCTGCTTAAGCTTCCCGAAGACACGGTCAGACCAGAGAGCAATTTCTTCGAAATCGGGGGAGATTCAATGACATCGTTTCAGCTGGCATCGCTCGCTGGACGGAAAGGTCTTCACCTGACAGAAGATACGATTCTGAGCTGCCCAGTAGTGTCGGACATGGCTAAGGCATCGACTCCCAGAAATTCGCCCACTGAGCGCCAGGAAATGCGGACAAGCCCAGGCAAAGAGGAATTCACCGCTGCCCAGACCGAAAGGTTGCGGAGACTACTGCCGTTGGAGCTATCACCTTTGATGCTCGAAATGCTACCCCTTACCGACTTTCAACAGACGAGCTTGACAATGATGAATTACCGCTATTACCGGCTTGGGTTGCCCCCGAAATTCGATCGTAGACGGTTGCTTCGTGCTTGCCAGAAGCTCGTTGCTCGACATACCATTCTGCGAGCAGCCTTTGTCTGCCAGAATGGAGAATATGTTCCGGTGGTATTGAAAGACTGGACAGTGTCTGTTCGTGATTTTGAAACAGATGATCTAGACCGGTTTTGTTCAGACGACAGTTCCGTTGCAGAGAATGTAACTAGCGGTCGACCGCCCTTTGCCATACACTTGGTGACCATCAAACAATCTGGCGAAGTGTTCCTTGTCTTCCGGCTCGCCCATGCGCTGTACGATGGTTTTTCTGCGTCTGTCCTCGTCGGCGACTTTGCCGCTCTTTACAACGAGAAGACCTTGCCTCCGACAAGCCCATTTTCGGCTCACCTGCGAGCAATGCAGGCATTGCAGACGGAGGTGGCGTATGGTACTTGGCGAAAGGTCCTGCAAGGATCACAGATGACTTCACTGCGCGAGCATAGACTTCCCATCTCCGCGTTGGAGGACCGCACTTCACGGCCAGCGTTTGTGGTTAATGTCACAAAGACAATTCCCACCGTTTCCTTGCCGGTCAACATCACCTTATCCAGCTTGCTCAAGGCGGCGTGGGCTGTCACGCTTCTTCGGTACTTTGCCTCACAGTCTAAGACTTCTACATCCGTCGTCTTCGGACAAGTCGTGCATGGACGGAATTCTAATGTGACGCATGCGGATCGCATTCTGGGCCCCTGTATCAGCATCGTTCCTGTCTCCGTCTCGTTCGAGCCAACAACTTCCAGGCTAGAGGTCCTTCGCGCAGTTCAGCGACAGCACCTTGAGACTTTGTCTTACTCGGCACTGGGATATCGAGACATCGTAAAGAACTGCACGGCGTGGCCCAAGGATACTCCGCTGAGCAGTTTCGTGCGAGTTCGCAATTATGAATTCCCCACTGAGTGTTGGCTAGATGGAGTTCAGTGCCATGCCAGCCACTATCCTTTACCTAACAATCCATCTCATAGTGCGAATGTGCATATTGTTCCTGGGGCAGGTCGTCTGCATGTGGAGATCGCAGTCTCGAGTCACGTTCTCGGTGAGCGGCAGGTAGAGTACCTAGTGGGGGAGTATTGCCGGACGATTCAGAGTTTTGATAACAAAGTCATTGGGCGCAAGCCGCATGTTTTCGCACCGGGGCCCTCGCTGGGGTAGATAGAAGCACTGAAGAACTGCATGCGGTCGCCTTGAAGCTCATTATGGCTCAGCCAGATATGCTGTGGTTTCCATAAGGATCCCGCAGATATATATTTATGAGACTGTCAGAGCCAAAAATCAATGATCGGTATCCAAGCTTTTTGGTGAAAAATCAGGTGCTTGTCGGAGGACAGGGTAATGTGTCAAGATTTTGCAAATAGCCACGACATACCAACAGTCATATTTTGTTCTTCCTACACGTTGCGATACTATCTCGGCAACGTAGCGGGCATATTTCTGCTACCCAGGTGCTCGGCTGTGGGTAGATCATAAATACGCCTGTTTGACCGGTATGATCGTCGGGCACCATCTGAAGTTACCACGGAGGTTGAATAGAAGAAGTTGGGTGATGCGACAGAAATCAGGAACAATAATAGAAGATTAAGGTGCGGCAAAACAATGCGAGGAACGTGAAGACAGTTCAATTTTTCCAGGCTGGTAGACTGGCCACGTGATCAGTAGTTGCTTCGCGAACAGGAAACACCCAGTAACACATGCAAAACATTTGCTTGAGATTCACAAGTGATGCGGAGTGAACTTACCCTCTACCAGTTCGTTCAACAGGTTCGCTCCCATCTTTTTTCCCCATCTTTCCCCTCGCACCTCGCCCCCTCGCCCCTCGCCCTTCAGCATCATCTTGCATCATGGCTTCCACCGAGCCTGTCACTGAGCCAGCCACTGAGCCTTCTATGAAGCTTCCTACTGAGGTTCCAGCTGAGACTCACACTGCGAATCCCGCTGTATCTCTCACTGAGCCTGCCGAAGGCCTCGTCTCCGAGAACCCTACCGAGCCTTTGTCTGAGACTCCCACTGAGCCTACTACTGAGTCTTCCGTCACACCTGTCAGCATGCCCGCCTCTGAGACGGCTACTAAGGAGACAACCGAGTCTTCCACCCACACTGCCAATAATCCCATCTCTGAGACCTCGACCAAGCCTGCCACTGAGACATCTCTAGAGCTTCCCACTGAAGTCGCTACTGAGTCTTGCGATGAACTTGTCAACATAACCACCACCGGGACAGCTTCTGATCCTACAGCCGAGACTCTCACCCAGCCTACCAGTGTCACCATCCCTGAGACTTTCATCGAATCTTCAACCGAGCCATCATCTGAGCCTAGTGGTCAAGATTCAACTAAAACTGGCGATAACGCTCCCAGCGAGACCCCCAAGCAGCCTGGCAGCGAGAATATCATGACATACCAACTTGAGGACACTCCCGAACATCTGGCAAGAATGGAAGAGCTACGTGCGAGTGGTATGCTCACTAAGCGCTCCACCATGCCTTGCTCCGCATGTTCTTTCAGTCCTGAACGACAGAGGTGCTGCAACTACGAGAGCCACGTCAAGATCTTCTATGAAGCCGGCGATCGCGGCGTTTGGGCCCTGGGCTCCGACCTTATCCTAAAGGACCGTGGGCCTAGTTATCCAACCGATGAAAACGCAAACCTCCGCTTCGTGAAGAAGAACACCACCATTCCTGTCCCTACTGTGATCTCGCATCACGAGGAAAGTGACGGTCACGCTCTCACTATCATGACTCGCATTCCTGGCGAAAACCTCAAGGAGGCTTGGTTTAAGCTGACTGATGATGAGAAAGACAACATTGCGAAGCAGACTGCCGAGTATTTGCTCCAGCTCCGCTCTCTCCAGTCTGATCGTCTCGAATCTCTCGACGGTCGTCCTGTGTTCAGTAAATATCGCGGCAGGGAAGATAACTGTGAGTCTGCTCAGGATCCTACATCTGATGATTATGTGTGGAATCGCCTGGCAGCCTCCCTGGATCCAGCCGTCCCCGAAGCGGTGCGCTGCCGGCTTCGGCGCTCCATGCCACCCACTAAGCCCTTTACCTACACTCACAATGACCTCACACACGTCAACATCATGGTCCAGAATGGCAAGCTCAGTGGTATCATCGACTGGGAGGCCGCTGGATACTATCCTGTTTGGTGGGAGTATACCCGTGCAATCGTGACCTGTGAAGGGTTGGAAGATATGGAATGGAAAAGCCTGTTGCGCCAGTACATGCCCAAAACCCAGGAAGCCAAGTCCTGGTACTTGGACTGGTTTTGGCTACGCCACGGTGTGGACAATGAAAGAGCGAGGGAACTTATACAGGAGGCTGAAGAGGACGAATTCGAGGAGGATGTGACCGAGAAGAATGAGCCTGAAGTGGGTGAATCTGACGAGGATGAGTCGTGAAGTCATGATCATCTGTGACATGTTTCTACCTACCTGTCCACATTTCTCACACTTTGACACTGTCTTGAAGACAATGCCATGATAGTTGACATGTATTACATCGCTTTATGTATTTATCACGGGGGATATGTCCCATAGCGATAATGCCCAATAAAAGAGTCGATTATCAGACCTTAAAAGTCCAGTAAACACAAAGCCACAAGCAACCAACGAAAGACAGAATAGACCTCAGGGCTTTACAAACATCTTCCACGCTCCGAAAAAAAAGGATCTCACAGAACACAAAGATTGTAAGTTGAAGACGCCAAAGCCCTCCTATCGATGATAGGATGAATCCGTCCGAACGCCATCGCTAAATGCCACGTTTCTCACCAAAGCAAAGGGCATCATTTGTTTTCTTTCTCTGTATCTCATTTTCTTCAACGATTTCCTTGCCATATTCTGTTAGCTGCAGTTACCATCATCTCGCAGATACCCATACCTTGAATACCAGCGCATCAAACGACCATTCCGATTGTAGAATTGTCTCTCCCATATTGACGTGCCACAAATCACCACCAGAGAAGCAGACCGCAGCCTCCAGTCACTTGGCCTTGGAGCTCGACCTGCCGGCCCCGCCTTGCCGTCGGGCTTGGGCTGGGTCTGGCCCTTAGTCTTGTCCTCAGCCTTGGGCTTAGGCTGGGGCTTGGGCTTGGGCTTGGGCCAAGGCTTGTCGGGTGAGTGGAAGGGGTAGTTCATCGCGATGTTGCGGTTGCAGGCCTCGCACCGCTCCCGGGGTTCGTTTTGGGGGTCCTTGGGAGTCATGTTCTGGAATCCGCACTCGCAGCGCATGGTGCAGGTGGGTACAGAGATGAGAAACAGGTTTTGGTGTAGGTGGAAAGGTGGGGTGCTGGGGCGTCAAGCCGCAGGTGAGGTTCTGTAACGGTGTGAAAGTCAGTTATTGAGTTCAGAATCCTGCATAGATTTGGTTTACTCACTGGCTTTGGAATGTAGAGGTTGGATGTGCAAGATAAGCAGGTTTGACGATCAGAAAGGTGGTTGGTGTAGATGAGATCTATATGAACGAAGGAGATAGCGAAGGAAGTGTTGGTGGTAAGAGAGTAAGTAAGAGACGGTGGCTCCGGGGACGGCTCCGGGGGAGGCCAGTAACACCGATAGGCCGTGTGTTAGGCTGCCAGGCCCGGGGGTCTACAGTGAAGAGCCCCTACTAAGTTAGTAGCCTAGTGCCTGGAAGTGAATGCTTTGCTCCTCGGGAGTGCAAGCATTTAGAACCATCGATCCCCTAAGAAAGCAGTTTACAATTAGATCGGCTTTGATCTTGTGGACACCTTGCTCATAACTGTAATCATAATATAAATAGACTTTAATATTCTAGACTAAATGACATCTGTGAATATATAAACAAGCTCAAACAAACAAAGAGTTTAAACTGTTATACATCCCGCACCCACCGCAACTGCACAGCCTTGTGATCCTTCACCTGCATCGTCGACTTTGTTATCGCATTCTCCGATAACCACACCAACCTCCGCCGCAGCTCTTCGGGCTGCGTGATCCCGTCGACGGGGATCGGCTCGCACCGCGCGAACCGAAACAGGGTGGCCATGGTGGAGACAAACTCCACCTGGGACATCTTCATCCCCGGACAGATCCGGGGGCCGCCAGACCACGGCAGAAATGTCCCCTTCGGCGGGGACCTCACTTTGCCGGTGTCATCGATCCAGCGCGAGGGTCTGAAATCTGTGGCATCCTCTCCCCAAATTGTCTTGTCAAGATGAATAGCCGCCGCAGACACCATGACGTTCATCGGGGGCGCAAGGAAATGCGTGCCCTTTTCGCTGACGAGCTGTTGAGGTCCAGACACTGCGCGGGTCGAATGCAGGACGGGGGTGAAAAGGCGGAGGATCTCGAACTGTGTGATCTCATCAGGAGTTTGGTCACAAGGTGAGAAGGAAAAGGGATGGGTACCATGAGCCCCAATGTCCGTTGGCACTTGGGGAACACATCATCGTAGGACCAGGTTGACGAGTCTATGGGGAGCTCACGCAGCTCGTCGCGGATCCACTCCTGCCATTCGGGATATGCGGCCAATAGCGTCACCGCGAACCCCACGGTGTTGGCCGGTCGTCTCGTAGCCCGCAACGGTGAAGACATAAAGGTTCCCACTGAGCTCTTCCGGCGTGAAGGCAAACCCTGAGGTCGCGTCAGTGTCCGAGTTCTGCAGGAAAAAGCGTAGGAAATTGCTGCGCCCCGCGGAATCATCCCTTGCCGTCTGGCGCTCCTCTTCGGAAATATCGGCGATGTACTGCGGGACTCTCTCGAGACGTTGGCCTAGAAGACGCAGTCGGGCCTGCATGAAGGATAGTTTAAGGAGCTTTGGGGGGATGAAGGCGGCCACGAGGAACATATCGGTTGCCAGCGCGAGGGCTTTGAAGTAGGCCGTACGAGCGTGCTCTTCCCTGTCGGCGCTGTCTCGAAGTGGTGCCGGCGACCACGGGGTAGTTTTCGTGTACCCTGCCTGGCCGATGACATTGATTGCCAGGTTGCGCAATCCGGTAAGTGTATCCCCTCCTGGGTGGTCAGATAGATAATTTAACATCGATTGGGCTTGTTCGCGACTCTCCGACCAGGCGATTCGGCTGATGCGCTCGTCTAGACTCGCAGCAAACATGCGACGGTGACGTTTCCTGCGAGTGATTAGAAAGAGATAGTGTTCCAGTAACGGCCACAAACCATTCATCGCCATTGGTCTACACTTCGCATATTAGTGTCTAAGCATAAGGAGAGATCGATGACTGGCGTACCGCGAATACATTAGGGCCCAAGAAACCCAGAATCTTTCCGACAATAGGGGCTTGTTCAAAGTCATTCCTTCGCTGCAGGATCACATTTCCAAGATCGACATCTGCGGTCGTAGACAAAGATTAGAAGAATATTCGTAAAAGGAACTTGGAAAACACCCACCAGACCATGCATTCATTGAGGGTGAGCAAGACAAAGGTATTCCCCCAGCGGTCAAAAGGGCCGCGTTTCATGCGGAACTCCCAGCCATGTGTCACGATGTCCCAACGGTCGTAGAGCCACCCCGGAAGCACTGGTTGTAAATATGGGCGCAGAATTGGCGCGAGGATCAGCCAGGGCGCACTTGAGGTGGGTGCGGGGGCGAAGACGACTGGAAATCCAGTGCGACGGGCTTGGATAGACAAGCGCACAAAGAAGAGGGCTTTGTAGATCGCAAAGAGACAGACTGCGACCCACCATATCAACAACATTTCGAGCTCTATCTTGATTGACCTTCGATGTTCTGTGATATGACAGCGAGATCGTGGCGCAGCGGCACATTTGAACTTTTAAGGGTGAGCTCTGCTTACGCCAAGACGAGGGCTAAACATGCACTTGATGCTAAAGCAAGTTAGCCGATGGAGCCTTTCCGAGTGTGTTCTAGCTTGAACGCCTTTAAATCGATGGATCTGACCAGGGCAATCATCGATTGGTTTTCTCGTGAAAGATGGAGGTCAAAAGCGGGGAGATTGGCTGGTGGACTACAGTGCCGTATTACAACTATATTTCTTGTAGTGGGTCAGTGTTTTCTTCGAAAGTGTGATCCTTATTCTCAACCATCTCGCGACTTCCTACGAAATTGACCACGACTCGCCCGTCTATGCTACTGGGTATATGCTTCAGGATCTGATTTTCTATCCTTCCGTTTCAGCTGCGTATGCTGACATCCAAATACCGCAATGACCGTTTGGACTTAATTTAAACAGGACAGGGGCTGCACTTTCTTTGTCTCCGTCACCCAATTGCAGTCTGACCTTAGCGTCATGTGCCAGGATACTCAACTCCATCATTTACACCCATTTCCTACGAGAACAGCCAAAAGGCTTCGGTGCGTCTAACGGCTTTCCCTCGTTAAGTGCTCACAATGCAGGTTGTCGCTGTTCCCGAAACAAGAGACCAACCTCGGAGTCTTTATCAAGCACAAGCTTTATTCTATAAAGGCCATACACACCTCAGATCAACATCCCAGGCATTAGTAACTGCAAAGCCCGACCTTTGTGTCATTCTTTCTCTTCATGGTGAGGACTGAGAATTTTTGAAAATCATTTGTCGGAAGCACTCGCGTATCTTACATAGAACCAAACACAAAGCACATCTGACAGGTGACTGCCAGGTGTCAGTGGCTGTTCCAAGGATAACCAAGTTGGCTAGCCCCGATGCCCCAGTCAGATCGACGAGTAAGCCTGGGCGGATTACTCCGCTGATAGAGTGGTTGAAGCCTCCGCCAAGAGGCTAAGCATCGGATAATCGGAGACCCCATTCTAGCCTCGTACCGTGTTCTTCCACATTCTACACAACATGCCTTGAATAAAGTGAGCGGAAGTTATGAACTTACTGAATAATATAATCTACGGCGTGCGACGTAACAGTAGAGCCTGCAGCTCAGCTTGCGTCATATGAAGCCGAACAAACCGGTTGATGCGGAGAAGAAAACCGAAGGCCGGGGTGGATTCCACATCCGACTCAGGCACCAGCTTTTCTGTCTATCGGCCTGACGTCATGTCGATTCCGCTCCACGTCAACACATCTGATTTATCTTTCATCACACCCGGAGACAGCCCAATGAAATCGGCAGGTCTTGGGAAGTCCGATCTGGCCAGTGTCCGGGGCCCCGGTTATGTTTTGCCGCCGGACAACCCCGGCTTGCCACGCACAGAGAGCCGACCTGCACATCGGGGCCGGAACATCAATACACCATTGCCAGTCGTGCATCAACGGCCAATAAACTAAGCATATGGCGTGCTCGTGGAACTGGCCTGGAGAAAACAAGCATCACCGCCCGTGGTACGTCTCAGGGACGGTTGGCTGACAGGCCAGTCTATGACGCCAGACAGGAGAAGATATTTTCCGTACCTGAAGTCATAACATGATGTCCACTGCTGGTAGATGTTTTGGATTGTCCTGCTGACGGTCTTTCTCGACGTCATGTTACTAAATACCATGAAGAATTGGTGCACGGGATGGAGATGGAAATAAGTATAGATCGGCAGTTATAAAAGGCATTGATCTCGCGTTCGTTCTACCAGGCATTTCAAGCTAATATAAGCATTGTCTATCTGATTGACAGTGGGGCATTGTACACTGGTTTTATGCCTCTTTCTGCTTGCTCTAGGCACATCCTCACAACTGCCCGACTTATCTCATGCGCCGTTCAACACAATGACCACGCCTGACACCCACCCCACCGATCAAGCCAACAATCAACCCAATGATCAAACCAACACAACCGAAGAAACGATCGACAAGGAGACCGAATATCCACCCGACAACAAGAAAATCCAACGCCGACAGTCCGAATCCGATCACCCGACCACCTCCCAAACCGAACACGCAGCGCAGCGTTCCTCTGACGAGAGCGATGGGTCTCTGTCCCGCAAACCCCGACCCGACGGCAAGCGGGAGCTCAGCGAGGACGACTGCTACGACAAGCTGGGCTTCTCCTTCCCCTGGTACAAGAAATGGACGATCCTGACCGTGATCTTCATGGTGCAGATGTCCATGAACTTCAACACGGGCGTGTACTCGGACGCCCTAACGGGCATCGAGGAGACGTTCGGCGTCAGCGCGCAGGCGGCGCGGGTGGGCCAGATGATCTTCCTGGTGGCGTACGCGTTCGGCTGCGAGCTCTGGGCGCCCTGGAGCGAGGAGTTCGGGCGGTGGCCGATCATGCAGCTGAGTCTGTTCCTAGTCAACATCTGGCAGATCCCGTGCGCCCTGGCGCCGAACTTCGGGACGATCGTCGTGTGCCGGTTCCTGGGCGGGTTGAGTTCCGCCGGGGGGTCGGTGACACTGGGCATGACGGCCGATATGTGGGAGGCGGACGATCAGGGGTTCGCGGTGGCGTATGTGGTGCTCTCCTCGGTGGGCGGGTCGACCATCGGGCCCGTCTTCGGCGGGTTCATCGGCCAGTACCTGACCTGGCAGTGGGTGTTCTGGGTGCAGTTGATCTTCGGCGGCTTCACGCAGGTGCTGCACTTTTTCCTGGTGCCGGAGACCCGCGCCACCGTGCTCCTCGACCGGGAAGCCAAGCGCCGTCGCCAGTCGGGCGAGGATCGTGAGGTTTACGGACCGAACGAGCTCAAGACGAATCGTCTGGAATTGCGCGAGATTCTGCGGATCTGGAGACGACCGTTCGAGATGTTCGTGCGCGAGCCCATTGTCTTGTTTCTGTCGCTGCTCTCCGGGTTCTCCGATGCGTTGATTTTCACCTTCACGGAATCGTTCACCCTCGTCTTCGACCAGTGGGGCTTCAACACCCTGACCAACGGCCTGGCGTTCTGCGCCATCCTGCTGGGATACATCATCGCGTACCTTATCTTCCTTCCGGACATCTGGCGCCAGCGGAAGATCCGCCAGAAGCACGGCTCGGCGGCGCGCCTGGCCGAGCGACGCCTACTGTTACTGCTGTTCCTCGCACCCCTCGAACCAATCGGCCTGCTGGGCTTTGCGTGGACCTCGATCGGCCCCGCCTACGCGCCGTGGATCGCCCCGTTGATCTTCGCCTGTCTGATCGCCATCGCCAACTACGCCATCTACATGGCGACCATCGACTACATGGTCGCCGCGTACGGACCATACTCCGCCTCGGCCACGGGGGGCAACGGATTCGCGCGGGACTTCCTGGCGGGCATTGCGACCATGTACGCGACGCCGCTGTACGAGAACATCGGCGGGAAGTTTCACCTGGCGTGGGCGTCGACGCTGCTGGGGTGCATTGCGGCACTGGTGGCGGTGCCGATCTACATCTTCTACTGGAAGGGGCCGGCGATCCGGGGGCGGAGTAAATTCGCGCAGACGCTGGCGGCGGATCGGGAGAAGCATGCGGGACGGCGGGCGAGTCGGTTGCGGGAGGAGGAGATGCCCTACGCGTAGACGCTGTGCTTACCATATCTAGAAGATCAAAGCTTATCATATAAGGAGTATCACATATCAGTCCCGTTATTGATTGATTGAAATCTTCTATACTGTGCAGTATCTCCCATACATCCGAAAACACCTCCCAGCAAAAAGCAGCCAACCTCACCCTTCACGTGCCCTCCTAGACACGCCAAGCTGCACAACGCCAATAGCCTATGCAAAGCCACGCCAAGCAAGGGTGTAACGTAGCACCAACCATCCCAGTAGCAGCCGTCGATCACCCGTCCTTCCCGCGTAGATACGGCACCCCAATTAATTTAAAGCACCACCCTCCCGCCGAGCCACCCTGGTACAGTCCCTCAATCCCCCAGACTGTGCCCCTACTGTCCTCACCTCCTCCCCACCAATCCCAGAAAATGCATTTCCCCCTCAACCTCCTCACCCTGGGAACCCTCTCCCTCTCCCTCCTCCTTTTTGGCAGCACAACCGCCATAACCCTCCACACAAAATTCCAATACCGCACAAACGGAACCTGGCTCGAAAACCTGGCCCTGGGGCCAGCCCCCACTCCCAGGGACACAAACACCACCCAGACACTACTAGTAACCCGAATGGACGTCCCCGAACTCTGGAAAATCGATGTCTCCACCGGCCAGGGAGAAGTGGTAGCTACCTTTCCCAACGCAACGGCCTGCATGGGAGTGACCCCGCTGGCCCGCGAGGGGGTCTACGCGGCCGTTGCGGGACGGCTCCAGATCACGGATATCGGACATCCCGTTGTGGGGTCGTGGGGGGTATACTCGGTTGATATCTCGGGTGGGGATGCAGTGTCCGTGCACAAGATAGCGGATGTGCCGGAGGCGGGGTGGTTGAATGGGGTGACCTTTTTTCCTTCGGGGGCCTCGGGGGGTTCGGGGCTCGTGTTGATGGCCGACTCGGTAAACGGGGTGATCTGGCAGCTGGATACGCAGACCGGGAAATACAGCGTGGCGCTCAACGATACGGCTAGTATGGCGGCGTCGCCGACGGATCCGTTGGGGCTGGGCGTGAACGGGGTGCGCGTGTGGCGCGGCTTCGTGTACTACTCGACTGACTCGGTGCAGGCGGTGTTTCGGGTCCCGGTAAGGTGGGATGATTCCTTGCAGACCGTAAGAGCGGCGGGGGCTGTGGAGACGGTGGCGGAGAAGGTCGTGGTAGATGATTTTGCGGTCGCGGAGGATGGCGGGTTGTATTTGATGGCCGTGGCCGATAATCAGGTGGTTAGCGTTACGGCGGCGGGGCAGCGGTCGGTGCTGGCCGGGGTGAGGGATAGTGCTTTGGTGGCTGGGTGTACGTCCGCTGTGGTTTCGAGGGATGGGCGGCGGTTGTTCGTCACGACGAATGGGGGGCATATCACTCCGCCGAGGGGGCGGGAGGAGCCGGCGAAGCTGGTAGAAATTGTTTTGTAGGGCAGGGGAGTGTGCTTATTTATGGTTGACAAGTGAAGATCGGTGAATTTCATTCCAGAATTAAACACTCAATGATTAACATACAAGCATAACAGTCAATAGCAACCCAGACAACGAGTAGCAGCTTTTTAGAACAAAGCATATTACAGTCTCCCGGAATCCATATCCCCCATCCCTTCACCCTAATCATCAACCCCCACAAAGCACTTCCCCCTGCCTACGTCCACCATAGCCCCTTTCAACCCTTGCTATTTCAGCTTACGCCTCAAATTCCACCTCCACGTCCCTCTCCACCTCCACATCCCTTCGACCTCCCGGGCCACCACCACTGACCCCAGCCGACGCCGCCGCGGCAGCAGCCGCTGGAGGAGGCGCCACGGGCAGAGGCACCGGCGCGCCAGTCTGAGGCGTGCACGGCTCGCACTTGGGGATTTTGGCTACGCGAAGTCAGTGCCCTCACCACTGCTTATTACCTTCAAAGACGAGGAATGGGATCCCATGACTCACAAATGCCCTTGCAGTGCTTGGTATCGATCCGTCCACCCCAGATATAGCACTTGTCGGCCGGGACATAGTACCAGTCGCTGCATTGAACGTCAGCGGGGTGCTATGAGCCACCGCGAGAGAAAAGCATACTTGATACCCTTGTACTGCTCGCCGTCCGTCCACAGACAACTGACGTCGCGCGTGAGCCCCTTGGTGATGAAGGTGCGCTTGCTGTACCCGCAGGCCAGGGCGGGGCACTTGAAGCAGTCGAAGTAGTTGTGGACCTGGCCGCGGACGTCGCAGGTCACGGCGGCGGTGAGGGCGGCGTAGGCCAGGAGGAGCAGGGTGAAGAAATGCATAGTGGGTAAGAAACTGGGCTTGTGTTATGTTCAAGTCTGATGGTGTGAATGTAGCTTTGCGAGTGTCTTTGCGCTGTGCTGTCGGATAGAACTTCGAGACAGATTCGCGAGAGCGACGGTGCTATTTATCTTCCCAACCACACTATGAGCTCTATACCGCACGCATAGTAAACCCCCATTCCGCTGCTGCTCTAAATAATGACGTCCACGACACCCCTTGGCGATCTTGGCATAACACAGCCCACGTCAATATTCCGCTCCAGAATACCGTTCAGTTCCCATCATGATCTGCAACTTCGTGTTCCGCCTCCTAAGACAATCACGGGTCCCATCTCTAACATGCAAAGTCAATTGTTCCGGACGGGATCATAATTCTTCCAGACAAGATACGAGCCCTGCAGGTGATCATCCTCGGGCCGGACAATTCACCCGCGATACTATTTTCAGCCGCATCGGAGATTGTAGTAGCGTAAAGCTGCGGGTCCTGTTATGTACCTGGGTACCAGATCTACGGGCTGTCATATTTAGAGACTATGCTCGTATTCTGGGCTGGAACCTTGGGTCGGCTTCCCGAGGACAATGACGTCGGAGGGTGCCGAGACCCTGATCCACCGGGTCGGAACACGATTACACTGCCTCCCTGGAAGCTCGTATCTGTGTTGTGGGAGGGATTGGGAGCGGTTTTCTGGTATTGTTCTTGTCGCAAGGGGTGGTGCTGAGCGCCAGTATGGATGTTGTTGACTGGGACTGTTTGTTGATGGGTAGGTAGACTATAGTTGGTTTTGGTACGCAGTTGACACTGTACATACACTCGTTTGTAGAAGTTGTTCTCGCGCCCTCTGACGTCGGACTAGTACTATCGCACAAGCATGGCATTTTACATTCCCAGATCTAGCATGTATGATTTGATGGTGATTGATAGGTATATCTTGCAAGGTCACTTCCGAGACAGATACCTTGTGCGGTGGCAACACTGAGAACTGGACGACTTTGGCGAAAGTCTAGGTCGAAATGCCCAGCCATTACCAGTGCCCAGGTAGATCCTTGGCGATGCTGGGCAGAAGGCTTGATTTGCTAGGTTTCACTCACGCCGGCCATATCTCGCGGAGACCTCTGTCTACGAATATGGCAGGTCAGGGAGTGAAGGTTTGTGGCGGTATGGCATGTTACACCACGATGAAGTAGTCCTTTGAGCTAGCCTGAACCTTCCCTCCTTTGAAATACAAAGGAGATGGCTTAAGCAATGAGCGGCTCTAAGAGAAGCTCCATCTTCTCAAATGGCATGACCCCAGAACAGCGGTGTTCTTGGAACAAGGGATAAAGAGTGAAAGAATTGAATCCGTGATTATTGATATCATCCAACGAGCAGGTCAACTCATACTCCGCTTCCAAAGCCCTAAACCTCTAGCGCAGGATACCCCGGAGCGGAACTCTCCACTTGCCGCGCCCAGTCTGCTGGAGAGTAATGTATGAGCCGTAAGTCTCCTTGTTGCTGGACGGAGTCGATGATGTTGAGCAACGATAGGTCCATGTGGAGTCTGGCAGTAGAGGTTAGAGGTACATAGTAGTGCGTTGTAACTTGCTATTTCTTCCAGGGAGCTGCAGGTAAACAGGGAGCAAGAAATAAAAGGACAATGTACGGGTGAGGACGTAAATGGTAATAAAAATGCTTATAGATTAACCCGTGTAATTGCCAGCCTTGCATGCACGCCAGGAGCATCTCAGCCTCCATGTGCCACGGCTGCAGGCGCATCGAAACCGCCACCTGTCCGTTCGACTGGAAGGAGTATAGGGCGATGCGCCCGGTACCCAGGGCCTCTTGGTCGATCACAGGGAAGACCTGGTGCTTGGCGTCGAGGCGCACCTGACCCTGTCGCGTCATCGATAGGGACCGGAAGTCGGCGGTTTCGAGGAAGTAGAGCGCATCAGTCGATTGTCTCGGGTGAGGGATACCGGGCCGGGCTGGCGGTGGGGACCTCAGGATGGAGATCGTCTCCAACTGGGCTGTAGCTCAAGGGGCGGGCGATGCTTTGGTTCTCATGGATGTTGAGCGGGATGGGGTGTAGTTTGGAAAGTGTTCGTGTCAACTCACGGGGGGAGCAAATGGATTTCTTCGGGTGGCGAGGATTCCAGGCGGGATTTTGGGATGATGGAGGGTAATATGAGACTGCCGGGGGTAGAGGGGCGCAGCAATGGTATGACCATGGAATGTGCAGAGCCACGACCATAGAGTTATGTTTGCTCTGAGATCTCCAATATTTAACGGGGTCGCTATTTTACATATCGCGGAGTTGTTGATCGGCAGCCGCCTATCTTTACATCAGAGCACGTCTTTGTTGCGATTCATCGACCACGGTCTTACTTCCCACCCATTCCACCTGCAGGAAACGATCAGACAAGTCTTAGCGGATAGAGAGAGTTGAAGGGTAGAGACCTGCACAAATACCACCATCCCCTGGTTGTCCCGCGCCTGTTGTCGTCCTCGAGGTCCGGTCCATAACCCCATTGAATGTACATTAGATCATCACCCGACCAGAGCTCCTTCTCAGAGATTAGTGGTACAAGCATGAACAGCTTGAGATGAGCCTTGTTAGGCTTGGAGTTTCGAGGGAGATGACGATACCATGCAACTTACGTGGGGTGGTTTAAAGCAGGATTGGGAAAATATGAAACCTAAGACGAGACAAGTCCGTACTGCAATGCGGGGAACCTAGTGGAGTAAACGGAGACTCAATCTTCCTGAACTGGCTAGGTTTCTCCAATGTCGGTAGTTAGTGGGGAGGTCGGAGCATCTCGCGTGCACTCCAATTTTCATCATAGGCTACTGTACATAGTGTGCCAAAAGCTTCAGCTTTAGTAGGTTGTTAATAGAGGGTCAAGCCTCTCCAGCGCAAGGTGAAGTCTTGAAGGCCTAGGGCTGTGGAGGCCTAGGGCTGAAACAGTGTAGATGAAGTTTGACCTAGGCAGCGACGTGGCTGCCTGAGAACTCTTGGCTCCTCCTTGGCAGAATTGCCCTGAACGCTATGTTTAACTGTACTGTGCACTCGGCAATAAACAAGACTCATTGCCAGACAAATATGTGTGATCAGACCATCAGATCTCCTCGATGCAACTCGGTGCCTAGCCGCCCCACCCTGGAACCCGTATTCGATCCACCCTAGCGCGCAACAACTTGACCACTAAAGACAAAAGAGTTTAGACATGCCACTAGAACAAATCGCAGGTAACGCTTGAATATCTCTTAATAGTGCATGCATCCTTGCAATGAAGGCGCAACGTTAAATTCTATTTCGCCCAACCCGTGATCACATTCGATTCACAGCGCGTATCTTACCTGACCGACAACCCAACCCTATTCCATCCCCGATCATGACCGACCATTCCCCTCCTGTCCCAGCTACAACCACAACCACACCCACAGCAATCAACACAGACCCAGACACAACCATGCTTTCAGGCCTCACCCGCTTCCGCGCGCGCATGCGTACCGCCAACCGCGCCTTCATTCAATCCCGCATCGCCGAGATCGAAACCCGCGACCCCAGCGCCCCCGACCAAAAGAAAATCCAGCGCATGGCGGAGTGGCGCTACTGCGACTGGAATCCGGCGCCAGACCGCTGGGACGACGGAAAGCCCTACCTCCAGATGGTAGACGACGACGCCGTGCCCGACCGGCGCATGGACGGGGTCTACCCGACGCGGTTACGCACCGAGACCGCGCGGCAGATTTACTTAGATATGCTGCAGGGGGTGTTCCAGCGGCAGGCGGAGGCGCGGGCGGCCAGGGAGGGGCTGGAGCATCCCGGAGTGATTCCGCGGTGTGAGGAGTTAGGCCGGTTACTGCGGTACGCGCACGAGGTCCAGGATCCGGATTTGCGGCAGTCTAGGGTCGCGGAGTTTGCGGCTGGGTTGTTTATCCATTTTGGGGATGAGGACTTGGAGGGAATAGGGGAGGGAGTCGAGGGTGACGAAGGTGAGGACGAGGAGGGTCGACGGCGGCGGCAGGAGCGTGAAGACCGGTACCATGAGTGTGTGCGCACAAAGTGCGAGCATCTGCGGCAGTCGCTGGAACAGCCCAATGACTATTATTCTTCGCTGTTCGGTAGAGCGACGATTGTGGCTGATGTGGATTGCGATCTGGAGGTCAAGGCTGGGGTTCTCACCGGGGAAGAAGGGTATCAGGGGCAGTGGCCCCAGTGGTATAGTGCCTATCTCTACTGTCGCAAATATCCGGATGACGACGACGAAGAAGAAGAGGATGAGGAGGAGGGGAAGGGGGATCAGAATGAAGAGCAGAAGATGAAGTGGAATGATGATGTCCCGGATTCGCCCAATATTCATGAATGGGGATGGCGGATTGTGTTCATGGAGGTGGACTACTGCGACCCCTGGGAGCCGCAACAGCTGTACGGGCGCAGGCCGCGCTTTGACTCCATCCCCGAGTTCTTGGACTGGTACAGTAGCTGGCCGGATCATTTGACTGAGCGACAGTTGCTGAGTTATCGCCGGCACGCGCGAGGATGGGATGGCTGTCAGACCGACTGTGAGTCGGAGTGTGAGGATCACTGTTGATCAGGGTCTCGATTACGTACCACCGGGAGAACTACATACCCAATAGGAGCCAAATACCAATATACATCTGGCAAACTGAAGTGATTGTTCATTAGTTCTACCGACATGACGTAATGTAGAACTCATCAGTTTAGCCAATCTTCCAAGAACAGAGCCATGATTGTGATGGGAAGCGTGAAGAATCTGAGATTCGAGGCTATCTGAAGGCTAACCGGCTAGGCAGTCCGTCAGATTTGTCACTCATCACCAGGGTAGAGATGGAATCCACAAGAACAAGCCATCATGGACCGATCCACAGCCGGAGCAAGTGATTACATGCCCAGGACTATCAACCTTAGGTCCGTGCACCAATACGTCCAACATGAACACCTTGCCGTGGATGCCGGCATACAGAGCGTTGTGGACGAGGTCGTCGAGCCCGGAGTGCTTGCCGCAGCCGGAGCAGACGGCACGCTCTCGCATCATGCGGTTGCCACGCAGAGTGAGAAGGGATTTGTCTTGATGTATGTTAGTTTGAGTTCCCAAGCTGAGGAGCGGATCTTGAATAGATCGCGGTATAGAAAGTGATGAGGGAGGACATACCCTCCACATCGAGCATCTCTGCGATATGATTTCTTTCCGCATCGGATAGGATCCAGTGGTAGCCCTTCTCGCCTGCGGGTAATTGGAGGATTTCAGATGGGTGAGGAGTGTCGATGGGAACTTGGTGAACGGGGAGGGAATGCATTTTGCTTGGGTTGCTGTGAGAATGAGGATTTCCTAGTGTAGACTGTTCGAGGAGTCTAGATCAGGCAATAGCAAATTTGCTGGACGGGTTCCTTCTATTAAAACCTGATTTAATGTTGGGAACTGTTGACCAGATATATGTGTCACCTTGTAAGGAATCAATGTCATCCACAGGGACTAGACGCCGGCGGATGAAACCTTGCCTACGAGGAATACTGTGGAAGCAAGGGCCTGTAGACGATACGCATGAGACCTTTCGCATTCTACGCTATACATATTCTTCTTATCGTCATGTGCACAGTCCTATTTCGTGCTACATTGCGAGCGTCCGCACAAACCCGATTCGGGGGTCAAGTCAGCATGACCGATGCAACAGGCTTGGCATCATGTCTGAACATTCGATATGACAACACCTACAGGAAATTAGCATGTTATATTTTCATGGCCTGAATCTCCAAGGCTCTAATCTTGAGCCGGGTGCCAGCTTACTGGTGCAGGTAATACCCACCACAGCCTGCCAGCATCGTGCATAAATGGCGCAGGGATTGACTCCACTATAACCGCCAACAAGTCACAAAAGATGCCGGATGTACCATGAGCGACTAAGCAAATGGCAGACGCGGGTGACCAACACGAGCAAGAGGTGATGGTTCTGCCAGGCAAATATGAGACCATTGAGTTGAGAATCGTATTAACTAACGAATATACTCCATCAATGCGACAAAACACGACAATTCAAGATTCAGTTTATCCAGCGTCCACCTCCTTTGCCACTGCCCTAATCTCGAGCAACGGAAACCGGTGTTGCAGGTGTCAAGCTACGTGTTCTGAATAAGTATCAGTATATCGGTATCCACCTGGAAGTAACGGCGTGCCGTTATATTTGGCCCCCAAGTCAGCGCCTTGGCTGGACCCACCAAGGATCTCTCTGACAGTCTGAATTGACCGACCTTGAACCTTGAAGATTGTGGGGAAATCTCCTGCTCCCACATCAACAAGCTTCGTCCCCGGGTTCTCAATCTTCCTTTCTCAGAACAAGACCAGAGATAAGCTTCCCGGATTCCGAGCGATTGCGCTTGATCTTGCCGACCGAAATCCGGAGATTTCAAGATTGGGTGATAGCTACTCCCGCCAGCGTCCCCACAAGCAGGCAGCGCGAGTCAGGGCATGGGCACTAGCACGGTCTTACCCGGCGTTCAGCCCCAATCCTTGGTGCGACCTTGCATCACCGCAGACACACTCGTCACCGCCTGCCGCCATGTATTTATGGGATCAACACCACTGCATCTGCCGTAAAGGACCAGCTACACGATCATCATGGGTGCTCAGTATTTATCATTGTGAGTGTCGATCTTACCATCGGAACATACCGCTAACGAGTACATCAACCAGCCACTGCACCTACACCATCCCGGTCGCAGCCCTACTAACTATATTCTACTACCCGTTCTTTACGAGGAGAGACATCTGCAAGATCACATTTCTGGATATTGTACCTCCCCTCCCCTTCCCCTTATCTTCACGACGGAGCCTGGCGGTATACGATAGCTAGTGGTAACAGCAACAATACCATGGGACTCCAACCTGATCCGCCACGGGATCTGGTCCTACCCCCCGGACGCTACTTTCAACCGATCCCTCTACAACATCCCGCTGGAGGAAGTCGCCTTCTTCGTCCTGCAGACCTCCATCACGGGGCTGATGTACTGCACCTGCTCCAAGGTGCTGGTGCTGCCCATGTACCTGCCCGTGCGGCCGGTGCGGCGGACACGGAATCTGGGGGGACTGGGGCTGGTCGGGTTGTTTGCTATCGGGATGATTTGCTTTGTATCGAGGGAGGGATGTATTTGGGGTTGATCCTGATTTGGGCTTTGCCCGTTGTGATTCTTCAATGGTGGGTGGCTTCCTCTGCTCTTGCAGGCACCGTGATAGATGATAGTGAGGACTAACGAGGGTCAGGATGCTGGTCTCCCCGTTCATCGTCAGTCTGCCGTGAAAAGTGACCACCCTTCCGATTGTCCTTCCGACCGTGTATCTGTGGGTCGCAGATCGCAGCGCCATGGCCGCGGGGGTGTGGTTGATTGCACCCGCAATGCAACTGGGGGTTCATGTTGTCGCGCTGGAGATTGAGTATTCCCCCTCATCATTTTCATTGTCTATGTGTAAGCTAAGAAACGCGTAGGGAAATGCTTTTCTTCCCCGTGACGAACGTGATGATCGTATTTGGCCTGATTGGGTTCGACTACGCCTGTGCGATGGCCGAGTACACCACCATCTGCACGGGTGTTGCGCCTGGCACGACGCGCGATGCGGTGAAGGACGTCCTGCAGGCGATGATCCACCCCCCGGCCATTCAAGCGTCAGTTATCACCAACCTCCAGCAGGCAGTCGCACGGCTGCACGAGAAGAGCCAGAGTATGTTCGTGGGGAGTGCGCTGTTCCAGGGTTCGGTGCGGGTGGATTTGATCTATGTGTACGCCTCCCCTTACCCATTGCCTCAGCACTGAACACCGCTAACAAAAACAAGATACTCATTCTGCCGCGTGATTGACGATCTCATCGACGATGCCTAAGACGCAGTGGAAGCACAGTTCTGGATCGCAGAGTGCCAGCGGTGTCTGGACGCGCGGATCCGACCGAAGGAACAGCCGCGCTGCCCCAGCCGTAAACCCCCATACAATCAAGTTAAGCACACCCTCCTGCACCGCGCAAGAGCCACCCTGCCGCTCTCCCGAATGACCACGGAACCCCTCTACAACCTCCTCAAGGGTTTCGGAATGGACCTCGCGTTCAATGCCCAGTCCACTGAAAGGCCCACTGAAAAGCACAAGGTAACCTTCCCCATGGCGACAGAGGCCGACCTCGACCGCTACGCGACCTACGTCGCCAGCACCGTCGCCGAGCTCGTCCTCGGCCTCCTCCAGCACCTCTACAACCAATCCCAACTCTACAACTACCCCCAAATGGCCCACGCCGGCCGCGAGATGGGCAAGGCGCTGCAGTGCGTCAACATCGCGCGGGACATCCACCGCGACGCGGCCATCGGGCGCGTCTACATCCCGACGACGTGGTTGGCGGAGGCCGGGCTCACCCCGGCGGATATCCAGGTGAATCCCCGGTCGACGGCGGCGTATGCGATGCAGGAGAGGGTGCTGGACAAGGCGGAGGGGTTGTATGGGAGGGCGAGGGGGGCGATCGAGGAGTTGCCAGCCGGGGTACGAGGGCCGGTGCGCACGACGGTGGAGAGTTATATGGAGATTGGCCGGTATCTGCGGGAACGTACGGGGGAGAGTCTGCGGACGGCGCGGAAGATGCGGTTGCCGGTGGGGAGGAGGGTAAGGGTTGCATGGCTGGGGATGTTGTAGTGTCGTGCACTAGCTGCGGCGTCCAGCTAGGGGCGGAGGTCGGGTCATGAACAAATTTGTTTAGATATGATTCTTTTAGCGCGTTCTCGTGAATTATATGAAAGTTTCTATGCTAGTTTGGATGCGTACGATCTCCCATACACAAGCACAAACTAAAATCCCATACAAACAAACCCAAACCCACAAGCAGAAACTCTGCCCTGTGTTACTAACCACCCAACCCGACGACCATTGTTTATACTTTTTTATCATATGTAAAATAAATAGCACCGACCAGCAACTGAGGTCATCAATGAAGTAATGCATGTTTAGCAGGCTGCAAAGATAAGGTTACATCACGGAGCAACCGGGAACCTCCAGACCTTTCCCGGATCTGCCGAACCTTGATCCTACACAAGTACAAAAGCCGGCCCCAACCCTGCAGTGCACATTACAACCGACTCCCCTCCTTGCGTCGCACCCCATCCCGCACACCCTATTTCTGACCATATCTCCGCACCGTGCGCGTCGCCACTTTCTCCTCATCATAGATCGCCTTGACGCTCGGGTGCGCGATCGTCGCCTCCGCCCACCGCTTGAAGTTCGGCGTCTCCTTCTCCAGCGTCTGCACCAGGTCCGCGGGGAACAGCCCGTACTCAGGCTTGGACAGGGAGAACAGGCGCAGCAGGAACGAGCCCAGCAACACCTCGGCGAAGGTGAGCTTCTCGCTGCCCTCGAAGTAGGGGCCCTGGCCGGCGGTGTGGGCGGGGTAGATCAGCGGCTCGATCTCCTTCTTCACGGCGGCGACGAAGGCGTCGCTGGAGGCGCGGCGGTCGGCGTCGCTGGAGCGCAGTGTGGCGTTATACAGGCTCGAGACCTTGTTGGCCCAGGTGTCGACGAAGAAGGTGGTGCGGGCGCGTTTGAGAGCTCCCTCGGGGGTGTTGGAGGGGGGCAGGATGTGGGAGGGGTAGGCGTCGACGAGGAACTGGGCGATGATGGCGGATTCGAGGATGATGGTGCCGTCGTAGGAGAGGGCGGGGACCAGGCCGCGCTTGAAGGCTGTTAGTATTGAGAAGCACTTCGGGTTGAAGAATTAGGTCGGGATGTGGCCGTACCGGGTTGACTTCAAGATACCATGGTTCACGCGGGGTGTCCAGGTCGATGGTCACCTCCTCGTAGTCGATGCCCAGCTCGATGAGGGCGATGTGCGCCCGGTGAGCCCAGGGGCAGAGGCGGTTGGTGTAGAGGGTGATCTTGGGAGACATTTTTCAGTGACTGTGAATGTTCTTGCGATGGTGTTGAGGGGAAGAAAGTTGGGAAGTTGGGGGTTGCGGGGAGAATTAATAACCGCGGGATGACGCCAGTCCACGCCAAGTGGGGAGCGGATCGCGTAATTCCACGGCTCTGTCTATTATTAATTCGGCAGTTGAGGCCGACCCCGGATATTAGAAATCAACTTGCGGTAAGTACAGTACGTAGTGCCAAGTCCATGCTTAACAATTATACATTCCCTTCCAATCTCTTACATACGTGATAGTCGAAGTAGTGTAACCAGCAGCATATTCGCTGGCTGTCCGACGACTCGACCTGGTCCGAGAATTCGGGATGCCTGCCTCAGGCATCCATCATCACTGCTCACCGTAAAGCCGTTATCTCCGGCTCACTGAGTGGGTGTGATGGCCGAGGTCCCACACCTGGTAAATATCAAGGTTTTACTATTCTAGGTAGGTTGCTGGCCGGATCCTATTACTGATACAATCCTCCTGCCTGAGGGATCTCGACCTGCCCACTCGTGAAGCTGCAATGGCCTATGGGGCCAGTCACCGGCACCGCGCCCCATTGGACGGGCAAGAGTGACATATCCCACTCGCCCATTTCCCTGGAAACAGCAACGCATTCCCCGCTCTGCAACACAGTCCCGTTCTCTCGAGGCAGGCTAAGACCAAATTCCGGATGACACGCCGCGGCGATCGCCAGGCTACAACTTCCCACAATGGGCATAGCGGAGTCCAATCGCCGGCGACTCAGCCCGACAATTCCCGCCAGAAACACGCCCCCAACAATGATACTGCTCAGGATCCCTGCCGCAGACCAGCTGCAACTGAAGAAGACTACACTCCCGGAGCCAGAGTCCCATTCTTCGACGCCGACCAAGAAAAGGCTCTGCGAAATCAGCCAATGAAGGACGGTGGAGGTGGCTATGAACGGAAGCGCGTAGCGATACGGGACGGAGAGAAAATAGTTAGATCGCTGCGCGTGCTGGGGGTTCGACGAGACCCGAAGGCCCTTGCGCGCTTCGGCGTAGCCACTCAACTCCGCGGCCATGGTCAAGCATGTGAGCAACCCGTTGAAGGCGAGGTAGAGGAAGGAGAAGACCAGTTGGGGTGAGTTAGCAATAAGCACGTTCTTGACGAGGGAGGTCGGCCAGTGGAGGCCGGATATCAGGCTATTCGAGGTGACCGCGCCTAGCCCGAGCGTCCAGGCGTTGGTGCCTGACTGGTTGCTGGAAATCTGGGAGACGCCGTAAGCTAGCAGCACAACGCAGACGATAGTTTCGCTCAGCCAGAGTGAGACGCAGAATTTCCACCGACGGCCGGAGACCGCGGCGCCCCATCGTTGCCGTTCGTTGTCGAATGCTTTGGGTCCGGGCGATGGGGTCCCTGAAGCCAGGGAGCCCATGCCTCCAGAGCCTCTTGTCACGTCACGACTGGTACTTAGACACCGGTATTGGGAATAAAGATCGGGACGCCGCAGGAATGACGCGATTGCATCCCCACTAGTCAGAATTGGTGCCTCTAATGGTCGGCCCCACATGTAAAGCAAAAGACACATTTTGACCAGATTAAAACCTATCACGACCATTGTGAGCGGAAAGGAGTACCGAAGCCTGCAATGCTGATCTGCTTTCTCAGCCAAGCAGTACTGAACCGTGGAGTTATACTCTCCCACAAACATGACCCAGCCATCGAGCGAGGTTGGTGACGAGTAGTTAAGATATCTGCGTCTCCTGTTGCAATCAGAGATATCCAGGGATGTATAGTCGCACAGCCAATTATAGGGTGTTTCCGTAGGCTCGGTAAACGGCGTGAAAACATACGCGGTATCGATGTAGGCATATGTATCATTGCTTCCATTGGCATCATCCGTCACGACCAGTAACTTCTGAAACGCTTGTTGAAACGTGACTGCAAATTTATCACGACACGTCTGACTGTCCAGGTGCTGAAGGCTCCCACGTCTTGCTGCAGACAGGAGCTCGGAAAAAGAAGAGGACTTATTAGAAGATGACTCGTAGGGGTATCGAAGGTTAACTTGGGAAATGTCTTTCTGCCCGAGAGACCCCGAGCCGGCGAAAATATCGTATACGTAGGCCGACGTTGTGGAATAGACGGCCGAGTTATATCTGTTGCTTTAGCTTATTAACAGGCCCTTGGACAGTGACTCCGGGGAAGACTATACACGAGGTGAAAGGGTAGAGATGACAATGCCAGGCATAACCAAAAGATTAAGTGCTTTCGAGACACTTGAGATAAGTTGTGAAGACTAGGTATGCCGATATCCACCCAGTGGCCTTTTCTATGGGCTCTATCAATAATCTGCCGTGTGGGCGCGGCTAGGCATTGCTTTTGAATTTGTTAGCTGCCATCCTGAGCTCTTCATGCATCGCCTCATACCATGCCGAAATTGCTGGCACTCAATAGTATGCTTCCAAGAACGTTAATCAGCAAATGAAAGCCGGCCGACAGACGATGAGCAGTATCACAATCTCCGTCATATATGATGGTGCTGATCAAGGGATTTAACTTCATAGAAAAGTAAGTATACTGTTCGCTTTCGTAGGGCGTGTCGTCATCATAGGTAGCATTTGTTAAGGAGTATGACAAAAATGCAATGTTGAGACTCAGAACGACTGCGCTTGAGATGAAAGCTAAGAAAAGAGTGAACTTCCAGCCCTCGAGTCGGGAGCTGGAAATTTCGGGAATGGTTGTGTGTTGTTCCTCCGGCCTCTCATCGGTCACTAATGGTCTTTGGTCGAGTTCGCTGTTCTCATCCTCGCTTGCGTGCTCAGTCAGAGTATCTAAGACTCTACAGGAATTCCGAGTCACTTCTAGCTCAATATAGTCTTGCCGCACTTGACGATTATGTCCTTGTGGCATTCTGAAACGGCTCTGAATGTTTCTATTGCAGACTAGGGCTTGCAAGAGAATTAAAAGGATCTAGTAATTTGGACAACACTGAGGGGCGTGTGCAAATGCTCAACCTTAAGCCAGCATCCGCCAGCAGTCGCCAGCGGGGCGCACGATTAAATACTCCTTTTTATGACTGTAGCTCTAAGTTCACTGCGAGCCGCTGCAGCCCGTAAGATAACTGAGCAGGCTAAAAAGGTCATTTTAACAAGGATCGTTGTTAGTGCTTACTCTCATCAGTTCCACCCAGTCTCTGAGTAGGGCCCGACAGGATGCAGATTTAGCCTTGCCCCACCATCCTACATTGGAAAGAGACCAGATACGGGATCCAACTCTTTTACCCTATCCCTGTTCCCTGTTCTTTTCCACAATGCCACCTCCAATCACCTGGTTGCTGGATCGATGCCTCTCGCCACAACAGGGACGGTGTTACATCAAGTTACAGGGGCACGTCGAAGGAAAATTCCCGCTCTGAGTTGCAGTATCTGATAAGGTATGGATGATAATGGTCGATATAATAAGATAAGGAGGGACACCCCTGGGAGTGACCCCTACTGGCGCGGGGTGTTGTGGGCCCAGCAAGGCCCAGGCCTACTACTGTTTAAGCACCCGTTCAAAGCACCTTTCAAGCACCTTTCAAGCACCTCTCCAAGTATTTATGAAGGTGACTATACACAATCCAAACCAAATATCGGTGTATCAGCTCGTAACTATAGCCTGAACTCACCTCGTCCTGCACCCTTGTACAGGCCCTCTTACAGTTGCGAAACTGAACCTAGAGCCTTACAAACAATCATGCGATGTTGCCATAAACTTTAGGAAGACACAACAACAAAAATCGAAATGCAAGAAATCCAGGGTGTCATGAACGCAACTTCATACTGCGGGACAAGATCTGTCACAAGCGGAATTCTGGCTTCCGACTTCCTGGAGGGCTCCGGCTCTCAACCAGTTCCTGATGAGTCCCCAGAGCCCGCTTCTCTTCGAACTTAATCCGGAACTTCTTACCCAATGCCCGCATCGCTTCTTCAGGCACCTCCAAGGCTCCAAACTGAGCTTCGGCATTGAGGAGCCAGAGCGCTAAGTCTCATCCTTCTTCTGGATAGCCTCGTATAGTGGGGTACGCCCACTCTTGTCGGCCTTGGATGGATCTGCGCGCAGCCTTAGATATGCGTCGAGTCTTTTCTTCACAGTGGGGTCCCAGCGGGCCTGACTCGCATTCTTGACAAAGTGAAGTAGAGGGGATGCTCCCAGATCTCTATCGGGACGGTTGATAAGGTCAGGAGGGCGGGGATGAGTGCAAATTTCAAGCAACACGCCTGCTCCACCCTCTGCCTGAGCTGCGTAATGCAAGCTCGTCAACCCTCCATTGCAGTAAGTATCTTCGCATGCGGCACCGTTTCTAAGGAGCATTTCTCTATGGTACGATTCTGATGTACGAAATAACACGTTCTACTATTCCTATTCACTCTCTTCTGTTCGATACCTCGAATGTTGTTTGACTTGCTATTGTGAGTACTCGATTATGAGCAAGTTCCTGACGATTACCATTACATCAGGACCTTTATCCCTTTTAAAGCAAGAAACTTCGTATAGACTTGCTAAGTAGCAATGCACCATTGAATACATAGGATTGGTAAATGAGCGCGAACCTGAATAGCGATAACCTCATACCATCAATTCGTGGTCATGTGTAATACTCTGCCAATTTCTTACGCCTTGGGCCACTATGGCCGAGAATTAGGCGCTCGGTAAATAAGACATTGCTATATGCTCCATCCCATAGAATTCAGTTGGCGAGGCTGACTAGGGAAATATAGTTGAGCCTGCTAGGCTCACAAATGCTCTGCGAGAGGATTTCTAGATGGTACGGAATGAGGTGCTATGTTATATTATAGACAAGGGCCTCGAACGTCTGCTTCAACTGATGGGATCCACCATGCCCACTTCAGAGATCGGCAGGATGTGAGAGATGCGGGCGGGATTGCTGCCTCAGGCGTCAGAACCATATAGCCGATATACCAAGTATGCTCTCCGCTTTACCGGTCGGCGATGTTGACCGAGCTCTCAGCTTTCTTGTATTGAAAACCAATGAGCGTCTCTCTCCCTTCCTCTCAAATCTTTCCTTCTCCAGACCTAAGATCATAACCACCATGCCGCCTTTCCAGAACACGTCACGTACACTCCGTACCCTCCGCACCCTCCGCACACACCAGCCGCTAAGCGCCCGCCACCTCACCACCCCCTCCTCGCGCCAACCCGGCCCCCTCACCGGCATCACCATCGTCAGTCTCGAACAGGCCATCGCGGCCCCCTTCTGCACGCGCCAGCTAGCCGATCTCGGGGCGCGGGTAATCAAAGTCGAACGACCAGGCGTCGGTGACTTCGCCCGCCACTACGACACGCGCGTCAATGGGCTGGCCTCGCACTTTGTCTGGACCAACCGGTCCAAGGAGAGCCTGGCGCTCGACCTGAAGGAGCCGCGCGACCACCGGGTCCTGATGCAGCTGCTGCGCAAAGCCGACGTCCTCGTCCAGAACCTCGCCCCGGGCGCCAGCGGACGCCTGGGGCTGTCGTACCGCGACCTCAAAACCACCCACCCCTCCCTCATCGTGTGCAATATCTCCGGCTACGGGTCGAATGGGCCCTACCGCGACAAGAAGGCGTACGATCTGCTCATCCAGAGCGAGGCCGGCATGCTCTCCGTGACGGGGACCGCTGCGGGCGAACCTGCGAAAGTGGGCATCTCGATCGCCGACATCGCGGCGGGGAGCTATGCCTACTCGAGCATCCTAGCGGCACTGTACCGTCGCGAGAAAGACCCGGCCCGGCGCGGGGGTGAGCTGGATATCTCGATGCTAGAGGCGATGGTCGAGTGGATGGGGTTTCCCCTGTACTACACGTATGGGAATGCGGCTGGTCCGAAGCCGGCGGGGGCATCGCATGCTGCGATCTACCCGTACGGTCCGTTTGAGGCTGGCGATGGGAAGTCGGTGATGCTGGGAATTCAGAACGAGCGCGAGTGGGCCAAGTTCTGCGGGCTGGTGCTCCGGCAGCCTCAGGTGGCGGAGGATGATCGATTTAAAAATAACTCACTGCGTGTGAAAAATCGAGACGCGCTGCAGCAGATCATCAACAATGCATTTTCGGAATTGTCTGCCGAGCAGGCGGTTGCGCGGTTGGATGAGGCGGCGATTGCTAATGCTCGGGTGAACGATATGCAGGGGGTGTGGGAGCATCCGCAGCTCAAGGCTCGCAATCGGTGGACTTCGGTGGCGACGCCGGCTGGGACGATGCCCGCACTGGTGCCGCCGGGAATGTCGCTGGATGATAGCGAGGCGTTTGATGTGAGGATGGATGCGGTGCCGGATGTGGGAGAGCATAATGAGGCCATTTTGGCGGAGTTAGGGATTGAGCGAGAGTAATTCTGGGTAGAGGGTGTTCAGTTTACTCCGTAGATAGCCGCATACCACTGTAAATTCTGAACATAAATACGTTTAGCAATTGGACGAATCTTAATCTACAAGGCGTCAGATTAGATCACGATGGAACCTGGATGTGAATATTGTATGGCGTTATACATCGGCTGTCCACCTTTATGCCGAGGACTGCCGCGCCGGCCAACTGAGAAGTCGCCGACTTCCCTATATCGGCTGTATGCTTTCTCTTTCCTTCACACTCCTCTCTCCTCTCCTCTCTCAAAACCTCCTGTAACATTTATGCTGTAATGTTGACTTCCTCGTGAAGATGCCTTCTCAAAATACCTCCGCCCCGCTCAAGGCCCGAACCCGAGCCAAACAGGCGTGTCTCCACTGCAACCGCCGCCGCATCCGCTGCAACGTCCAGGAGACGCGCCCGTGCCACAACTGCATTGTCACAAACGTTCCCTGCACAATTGGCGTGTCGAAACGGGGAAAGTGAGTTTTATCTTCCATCGATCTGATCAATTGGTGGGTTTGCCAATTATCAACGAGGTACCCGCGTAAGAAAACTGTCAGAGACAATCCCAGGACCGCGACGCCTTCACATACACCCTCGCCGTCGTCCCACCTCGCAGACAACAAAGTATCCTTGTCACTACCAAACGACCAGCACAGTCTAGCACAGAGAGATCCCCTCGGCAACCTCACGACCCCGCCGATATCCGAGCAAGCAGACTACTCGCACCAGACCGTCTTTCTGGGCGAGTCCAGCCCCCTCACCGTCGTCATCGACGAGGGTCGCCACTCATCCCCGAACACATCCACCACAACCACGACCACCACCATCCCACCACCCCGTCTCTGCTACCCCATCCCGGGGCGCTCAAATGTCTCGCGCGCGCGCGACGAAGCCCTCCGCGCCTGCAAGCTGCGAACGGAGCACCACCTTCGAGCAGACGGCGCATTCTCCTTCCCCCCACCGAGTACCTGTGCACTCCTGCTACAAGCGTACTTCAACTGGTTCCACCCGTGCTTCCCCATCCTTGACCGGGCGGATGTGCACCTTTCCTACCACCAGGAAAACCTCTCACCCTTGCTCTTGCACGCCATGCTGTTTATCGGTGTTAGTCTCTGCCCCGACGATGCCTTGGCGCAGACGGAATTTGTGGATCGCCACTCAACCAAGTTTCTCTTCTACAGTCGCGCGAAAGCACTCTATGATGAGGACTGGGAGGGGGACAATACAGTGAAGCTGCAGACGTTGTTTCTGCTCAGCTTCTGGCGGGGAGGGCCGTCCGAAGAGCGGGATATCAGGTTCTGGTTGGGGATCGCGATCAGTCTGGCGCAGAAGCGGGGGATGCATGTGATGTGGGTTTCGTTCCTAATTTTTTTTCTTGTGTGAGAGTGGCTGATGGAGGATTTTACGCAGGGCGAAATTCTCGCTTCGGTCGGCCAAGGAAGAGAGGCTTTGGAAGCGGATCTGGTGGGCGCTTTATGTGAGCTTCCCTGCCTGCTGCTGGGTATCGTTGCTGACCCGTTATGGATAGACACGCGATCAGCAGAGTGCCGCCGCACTGGGTTTGCCGCCGCGCATCCGAGACGAAGATTGTGATGTTGCTATGCTTGCGCCGGATGATGTTCGAGAGACCGAGGTGCTGGATGACACGTCTGTGTTCGGGATGGAACTGGTGGGAGATGTGGAGTATCCGGTGGAAATGGCCATGCTTGCGAGAATACGTACGTTCTTTCGGTTACCCCTCAGAATGTGTGTGCTGACAAGGCAGTCCGCACAATTGTCGCAACGCAATACTCGCCTAGCCGATCGCTACCCAGCCAAGAGACTCGAAATGTCCTGCGTCGGCAGCTGATTAAATGGGAGTCGAGTATCCCGGCGGAGCTGAGGCAGGATAGTGCGGCGACTCCGCGGGCAAAATTTCTCACGGGACTGATGCATATGACTTACAAGTACGGCTGAGTTTCCAGGTGGTGTGTTACGCGACTAATCTTGGGGTAGTAACCTGTATATCCTCCTTTACCGGCCACTTTTCCTCCACTCTGCGGAGAAAGGCACGGGTGGAGAGGGCCAGATTGCTGTCGACGCCGCCACGCGAAGCACGAGGATCGTCGAGGACATGCTGTCGCACAACCTCGTGCAGCACGGGCCGACTCATTTGTAAGTCCAAATCTCTATCTGGCTCGGATCTTGCTAAGGGACCAGAATCACGCACGTATTCTCTATATTGTGCATCCACACCCTCCAGTTCAGGAGAGAGACAGGGACTGGCCGCAAACTAGCCGAACACCGCGCAAGACTCTGTCTGTTGGGTCTGCAGGAGCTACAAAAGTCGTGGGATTTGGAGAATTGGGTCCTTGAGCTCTTCTTTCGGTGTCTAGACAATAGCACGGCCCGCACTCTGCGGTTGATGGACTGCAGCAAGCCTGCAGCCATTGCCACACCTGGTGAGGACGGGGTTAGTGGCAATAACAGGGGCAATGTGCCGTTGGACATGAGTCTTGAGGAGATTGTGGCTGTATCACCTGGTCTGCAGGCTGATGCATCATACCCGATTCAACTGTCACTAAATCTGCCGAACGAAGATGATTTCGTGCAGGACGACGGGGACGGGTTGTACAATGTCAGCGCGAGCTATGCAGATCATATGTGGCCTCCATCCCAGGATTCGACGATTACTCTAGAGAATCTCGAGTATCTGTACCGATTCCTCTAGATGCGCGCCCTGCAGCCAACGAACTACAATGATGAGGGGTTGGTGAAGTGGCGTCTTCTGATTGGTGCGACTCATGTCGTGCTTTATCGTGCATATCCTGAGTCGTGTCAACGAGAATGATTTGCTGATGGACGCGATCATCAATCCCCTGCATCGACGCTAGCCCAGGATCCGCTCTGCAAAGCCTTGGAACTGCACCTTGCTGGGCTGATAAAGGACCTTAACCGCCCCGCATCTTCCGCACCCAAGGTCAACATCGTCCGGTTCACAACACCATGTTCGGAGACTTCCCCGTCAAAGACAAGATCGTCGTGGTCACCGGCGGGGGATCTGGTAAGGCAAATTCAACCTGCATTGACGACGCACTCATACCAAACTGCAATATCTGACTCGGTGGCAGGCATTGGTCTAGCCGCCGCTCAGCTCGCCACCTCCAAAGGCGCCAAGACCATCATCGCGGACCTCAAACTCACCCCTGCAGCTGAAACCTTCGTGAATAGCACACCCACCGCCTCAATCCTCTTCCAACCCTGCGACGTCCGCAACTGGGCCGACCTCCAAGCTCTGATCCGTGTCTCCCTGGACCAATGGGGCGATGTGCCCGACGTGTATATCGCCGCCGCGGGCGTTTTTGATCCAGTACGGTTTCCTTCACAGACAGGACTTCACAGTCCAGCCACTGATGTGAAGTGTGTTATCGCTTAAGGAATGGTCCAACTTCTGGGACGACACAGAAGAGAACAGCTACGCCGCAATGGAGATCAACGCCAACCATCCCATCAAGCTGACTCGTATCGCCATGCGCGAGTTGCTGCGCGCCAACAAAAAGGGCGTCGTGTGCTGCGTCTCGTCCCTGGCGGGGATCGCGGCGGCGCCGGCGGCGCCCTTGTATACGGCGGCTAAGCATGCGGTCTGGGGGTTCGTCAAGGCCATGGCACCGTATGAGGCGATGGAGGGAGTCAAGGTTACGGCTGTTTGTCCTGCGTATGTGCATCCTATCTGAGTCACGAGGAGGGAGGGAGGAATGGGCGGGTTACAGAGCGATCGCTAATGCAGAGAATAGAGCCGTGCGAACGCCGCTGTTCACGGACCGCCCGGCGGCGATGGAACAGTACTCCCTCATGGAGAAGGCGCTGCTCGATCCCGCCGATGTCGCAGAGTGTATGGTCCAGTTGATCGAAGCGGGGGAGTACGGAGGGGGCGCGGTGGTGGAGATATGGGCGCGCGGGCCCGAGGGTCGGCGCGTGGTGCCGGAGTGGAACATCGCGCCCAGTCCGTACTTCGCGGCGCATACGCCAGAAGTGGTGGAGAAGATCTTTGCGCCGGTGAAAGAGAAATTGGCGAGGGAGAGAGGGGGTGGGCATTAGCCTGTCGCCTATATAATTCCACCCATCCTTTCGCCTTACTATCACACGTACTGTCCCTTTCACACATGATATTCAGTACACCCTATACACATCAAAATAAATAAATTCAGCTTTCGAAATCCGGAATAATCCCCGCAGCCTTATACCGATCAAAGACCGCCCACCACGTCGCCCGTGCATCCCTCTCCTCCGCCGCATCCCCCCAAACACCACGCATCTTCCCCAGATCCAACGGGCGATCAAAATCAAACCCCTTCATTAAGAACCCCGGCACATGGCTCAAACTCACCCCATCCTCGACCGTCCCATGCCCACCCTTCAACCCATACTCCCTCTCCATCGCCCCCCTTTCATCCTTATGCCGTTCCAAAAACTCCGCCGGATCCAATCCCTCCCTCTCCTCAGGCTCCACCCCCACCAACCCAAAATACTCACACAAAACACCCCACTTCCCCTCCCACGTCCCCGGCTCTTTCGTATCAGCCACATTAAAACTCTGGCCCGCCACCACCTTTTCTGGCTGCAGAGAAAGAAAAATCCCAAACCGGGCAATCACATCCTGCGAACTATCCTGCGCCCTGGCGATCCAGCTTTTGGACGTGCCAGGGAACGAAACCTCCGCCCCAACGCCGTGGATGTACCGGTACAGACTCAGGTACAGGGCCAGCCACTGCGCGAGACTGTGTTGGTTGTTGTTGGGCACGAAGCCCACCACGATGTCCGGGCGGAGGTCGACGTAGCTCCATTTTTTGCTCGCAGAGAGCTTCTGGAGAAGGGCGTGTTGGTGCGTGTAGAAGAGCTGCGTGGCGTGGGGTTCTGGGAGCGGGGGGTGGGATTCGCGGAGGGGGAGTTGGGAGGCGAAGGGGAAGGATGTTAGGAGGTGCACGCCGTAGGCCTTGTATTGTTTAGTATGGATACGGGTGAGGAGGAAGGGGGTGTACCTTTACGCCCGTGGGGAGCACGAGCATTCGGAAATTAGGGCATAGGGGTTCGATGGCTTGTACTGTGGTGCGGAGCATGTGGATATTTAAGGAGGTTTCGGTGGCCGGGTCCGCGGAGAAGATGTAGGCGCAGAAGTAGATGGTTGTTACTGTTCCCAAATCGGGGACGTGGGATTGCAGGAATGTGGACAGGCTGGTTGGGTCGCTGTGGATCAGGTCGAGGTTGGAGATTAGCTGCAGTTTGTTGGAGCGGGGCCATTGTGAGATTTCTGGCGACAGTGGGCGGTTGGTGAAGGCTGTGATGCGGGAGAAGGTGTTGGGGCTTGGGTAGCTGTTTAGAAGCTCGTTGACAAAGGCCCAGCCTACTATGCCGGAGGCGCCGAAGACGAGGGCGTGGTTTGGGGGGGTGGTCATGGTTGTTGTGGGTGTTGGATGGGTTTGGTTGGAGGAAGAGGGGGTGAAGGGGTGTTGAGGGTTTGGGGATTAATAAACGTGAGGGAAGAGGGGTAGCTTGACAGCTGGGAGGGGTTGCATGTCTTGCTTATTGCGTTTATATAGTTGCATATCCGTGGGTGTATTGACCTGTCAGTGTTCATTGTCTGATCCACTTCTATAGTAGTGCATGCGCCGGTGCGATTAGTGGGCTACGGACCAATCAAGAGGATCAATTAAGCACCTCGGTGCTTGGACGGTCATTGCTGATGATGACTGGCAGACTGGGGCTAAATGCTGACTTCAATACGTCATGCCCTAACTTTGAAGCAATTCCTCCATACGACTTTAAGATAGACAATAAAGATGTCTGCATTGATCGGGGGTACTACTAGCAATACTTCATACATAATATGAACTTGCTTCCCCGCGATTTCAGCATTGCACACCAGGTCAAGCGTCATATCACAAGAGAAGGCTATGTCCACTGGAACACTGTGATACAGACGAACACAACTGACTATTCGTGTAAAATTTACACCCAAGGGCAGGGCGCTTTTCCAGAACACAGAAAAGACCGGATAGCCCTCTAAAAGGAAAACACATCAGTCTAATCCAGCTCTCTCCATCCTCTTCCTTCAGTGCAAGAGACCGATAGAATGCTTAGCCAAAACGTTCAGGTTTGAATGTTGGTTTTCCATTAACCCATTTGCCACTGACTTGTAAACCGGGTCCGCCTCCACAGCATTCTTACTTCAATCAGGAGATTGTCAAAATCCATACGCAGATGGGGGCTTATTCACAAGGTGTGGATTGATACCCATAGCTACATACCATTTCATATCATCATTGCCAGAACATGGTCGGACGATCGCATTCTTCAATCGGCATCGTGTTCAGCATATTTCATCTCACTTCGCAGAGAACAACACACCATATCACAACTGAGCACCAACTAATGCTTGCACAGAGCATAAGAGGAGTCATGATCAACATACTTTGGGCAAGCGGGTGCTGTCAATGAACCCGAGATCCTGGTGCTCCACACCAACGCCCAAACCGACGATTGCGACACGGTCGTCTTCAAGGCATAGCCAGATTATCCTAACGATTAGTGTTGACTTGTGCTATGGAGGTGATATATCCCTACGCTATTGAGTCTATATCTCAGGCTTGACTGCGAAGCAAAGGGTGATCTCTGTACATAGAAGCACTGAACGCCATTGAGAACTCCTCTAAAGATTGTTCAGGGGCTCATTCTGCTCAAATCTGCGGTCGCCAGTTACTAATCAGCTGCCTATCCCCCTCACTATGCTGATATCTGGAAAGCGAAGGTATTGACATGGTGCACGCTACTTGCCAAAAAAGACTAGGACAATCAATAGAGAGATTCCAAGACCACTACTACCAACTAAGCATATTTGTTGTCGCACATCACTTCGAAGAAGAAAGGCAAATTAGGGCTGGCTTTAGCCTCAGCGGCGCTGAAAAAACCACGCGACTCAAACCAGTCACAAGGCCAACCCTCCAGCTCGCTAGAAAATAAGCAAGTGGGGATTCTCCTGCCCAAACCAATAAACAATGCCCCTCGAAGCAAGGAATCCAACTCAATTCACTCCTCCCAGGAACCCAGCCCATTGGACCAGCACGATCAGGGAACAATCAAGCATTCCAGGATCATCCCGAGTCTTAACGCCAGGGCACAGCTCCCACAACACATCGGGATTAACCAAGTTTCCCTCCCCAGGTTCAATTAACAATGTCCTGTCTCAGAGAAAATTGACTCGCACACGAGGAATCCCGTGGAACGGATTATGCAATGAAAACGCCATTTGGAGCTAAGAATAGTGGGCGGACCCGCCTAAAATGTTACAAATCGAAACTTGGTTGTAGGGGTGCGAGCGGACGTTCCCGATTCATTCCCGACGCCGTGGTTTTTTTCTGCTGGTGTATTCCCGAGCCCCATCGGGAATCCGCCGCTCGGGGCCCAGACTTGGCTATGGTTTCGTTTACGTATAAAGAATCCCATTCCCCCCCGTTTCACCGCGTGGTTGATGGTTTAAGGAAATTTCTTTGCTTGATGGTTTGAAAGCTTCATATTACGGTTTACCTTATCCCCTCCGCTTCATCGCTTCGCCCTGTCTGGCCGAGACTGTGATCGTGCATCATGATCGTCAAACTCTCCAACCCCTACAGCTTCCTGGATGACTACAGCGAGGGCGCGCACCCGCGCCTGCTGGAGGCGCTGGTCCGGAACAACATGCCCCAGCAAACCGGCTACGGCACGGACGACTACAGCAACGAGGCGCGCCAGCTCCTGCACGCGCAGCTGCACACCACCCCGGACGAGGTCGCCATCCACTTCGTCCCTAGCGGCACATCGGCCAACCTGATCTCGATCGCCAGCTGTCTGCGGCCTTATGAAGCCGTCGTTGCCGTCGACTCCGGCCACATCAGCTGCAAGGAGGCCGGCGCCATCGAGGCGACGGGCCACAAGATCATCGGCGTGCCGCACTGCCGCGGCAAGCTGCTGCCCGACCGGCTCGAGCGCGAGCTCGACCGCAACCAGTTCTTCCCGCACATGGCCAAGCCCCGCCTCGTCTACATCTCCCAGTCCACCGAGCTGGGCACCGTCTACACCCGCGCCGAGCTGCAGGCGCTGTCAGCCGTGTGCCGCCGCCGCGGGCTGCTGATGCTCGTCGACGGCGCGCGGCTGGGCGTGGCGCTGACCACGACGACCGTCCCGCATGTCCCCACGTTACGGGACATGGTCGACCTGGCGGATATCTTCTGGGTGGGCGGGACGAAGATGGGCGCGCTGCTGGGCGAGGCGGTCGTCGTGCGGCGCGAGATCGCCGAGGGGTTCGAGTTCCACATCAAGCAGCACGGCGCGCTGCTGGCCAAGTCCCGCGTGATCGGGGTGCAGTTCGCCGAGCTGTTCCGCGACCCCGACACCCCGTTGTTCTTCGAGCTGGCGCGCCACGCCAACGAGATGGCCCGCCGCCTGGCCGACAACTTTGTGCAGATGGGCTTCGCGCTCGCGGCCGAGACGGAGACGAATCAGGTGTTCGTGCACATCCCGGATGAGATCCTACCGCTGCTGGAGGAGCGCATTCGGTTTTACGAGTGGGAGAAAGTGGACGGCCACACCGTTGTGCGGATTGTGACCTCGTGGGCGACGGACGAGACGCAGGTCGAGAAGCTGAATCAGTGGGTGCGGCAGGTGCGGCAGGTGCGGGCTTGATGGCTGGCTGTTGGGCCCCGGGGTGCGCGTAACGAATGTCTATAATAGAGAGTAATAATGTTAATGAGTCATGACCGTCAAATTCCATTTTCGTGGTGTGGAGTTGGAGTTGACCTTACGATCGATGCTTTATGATTCAAGTGGGGAGGAGAGTTGGAGATGAATTTGAGTGGAGTTGCCCCAAAAGCCGAATTATTCCCGATCAAGGCGGTGAATCCCGACTTATTCGACCGGCCAGATCCCGTGCCTGCCCTAGCCCTCCTCTCGATTTGGACACCTGACCCAGAAGTTTAGTATGAGAAGTAGGACAGCTACATCTAATTATATATGTACGCCGTTCTTGGAGATGCTGCAAGTCAGCTGAAATTACTTGAAATCCACCC